TTATAACTTTCACAGTCAGTTATAACTGCCAATTTTAACATAAGATAAAAAACATAAATGTTTGGTTAGGCTTTGTTAAATTTTGATTTACAATAGTATAGTATAAAAAATTAAAACACTTTGTGATGTATTATCTATAAGACATGTTCTCTTACATACAAAACTGTTCTCATAAATTACTAAGTAATTTTGAAACCACTGCACATAGCAAGCAAAACAAAACAATACGTAAAATAGATCATACCGATCTCGAATTTTTCAAAATTAATGTACACTAATTTAATACATATATAAAATAGCTTCAATTGCAGTCATTAACCGTTTTCTCGTATATTGTACGACGTTACCCGTTAACCGCCCGTTTCGTGGCTCCCCACTAATGCGATATCGACTTATCGATCTGGCAGTTTGGCAACGGTTACAGTCAGTGCCATGCCGGCTGTACACGTCACCACTAAACACCAGTACACACTAGCGTTCTCGTGTATTCTGGCATTATTTTAGTTAATACACTTTTACATTCGATTATGTAGTCTGATGGTAAGTGGTAACCGTCGCCTATATACATGAACAGTACATCGTCATGTAACTAATGTGGTTATAACTCATGCGTTGTCACTCCGGAGAACTAAAGTGGTGCCTTTATAAACTTTTATAGCTAAATCTCACGTTTCAATCAAAACACAGCTTATTAACACCGGGATGAGGAAAGGTGACAACCATATTATGTTACATGTAAATTCCTTAGTGTGTACTATGCTTAAAAGATACAGATATTTATGGAGTGATGTTAGCACTCTATATAATTTTCAGTCACTCAAATTTCTAATTTATTTTACTATAAGAATTTTATATGACACATTCAACATACAACAAATGCGTATGGGAAGTGACTCTATTCTCCCAAATTTGAATTTAAAAATCGGTATTATTGTAAATAATAGTTGAAGAGAATACTAGCTGAGTTTCTTGTCAGTTCATCTTAGTGCGAAATCACTCCAAACGTCAGTTTGATACCTACAGTCAGGTAGATTTGACATATAAGAGTTTGTAATTGACCTATATGAATAAAGATATTTTGCTTTGATGATTGATTGAGAGATACTAGCTAACTACAACTTACTTGACATTTATCATTATACTAGCTTTTGCCCGCGGCTTCGCTCGCGTTAAGAAGTATTAGCATTATTAGGTACAGTTTTTGCGGCTTTACAGTACTTTCATACAAACTTTCATCACCTATTTTATCCCCTTGTGGGTAGAATTAATCAAAATCCTTTCGTAGCGGATGCCTACGTCATAACATCTACCTGCATGCCAAATTTCAGCCCGACCCGTCCAGTGGTTTGGGCTGTGCGTTGACAGATCACTGTGTCAGTCACCTTTGAGTTATATATATTTAGATTTCACCCAATTTACATAATATCTTTTTAAATTATATCCTGTGTATTATTCTGATGTATAAGCTATATTACTGTAAAGTTTCATCAAAATCCGTTCACTAGTTTTTGCGTGAGAGTAACAAACATCAAACCATACTCACAAACTTTCAAGTTTATAATATTAGTAAGATATACAAATACATGTTACGTTACACATACCGTGATAGACTTAGCTGACTTCGATTAAGTTGTCGGCGTGGGTACCTTAGCCTCACTTATTTCAGCCGCCTAACCTTACTTTGTATGCTGTTTCGGTTCTAGTATCATTTTAAGCTGTGAATTAACAATAACGTGATGTTAATAGTGAAGTTCATGTATATGTTGATCATTCATACAGTACATTATGAATATGCCCATCTCATTTGCGTCCAGCTGACGTATCTCTCCGCTCTGAATATAATTACCACTGGCCATCAAGTGGGGCATCAGATTATCTGTAATTCCAATTATATAAATAAATTTAAATGTACTAGTGTGCACTATCTTTAAAACATACTGATAATCATAGATTGATGCTAGCAGTCTGTGCTAGTGTCCTACTAATAACTGTCATTATATATCAATTTACATTTTATAGTTGAACAAAACGTTATGCTTTACGTCGATAATTTTAAGAATTGTCTAGAACATTAAAAACAAACTGAATATGCAGCTTAACCAGTGAATAGAACTTGTATCATTAACTACGCTGACTGTTGCGTGCCAATTTGTCTGTATAGAGTTGCAATAATATAACAAATATTATTCCTTATTCTTTAACTTAACATAGGTTTTCAGTTTCTTTATTCTTCTGCGCACAAAGAAATTTTAGACATAGTGGAGTTAGTGCTTGATGATATTCTCTATCCTCTACCAGTCAATAGGTCAATTACAGACACAGCGACTTTATTCTATCTCTATGTTGTTAGTTGGATTCTGTTATCCGCATTTATTCTCTCTTCCGGGCCGTTGTGCGTGTAGAGCTGAGACTACTAAAATAGCCAGCCAAAGTCCCAGAAGCGCATAAGTCCTGGTATCTTCACAGGCTTCAGAGCGACCTCACCGTTCCGAGGATATGTGTTCGTTGTGTGGCCACTACTACGCACACCAGAGTTACGTGAGCGGCCATTTCTGCTTCGGCTTCTATCTTCTATTTCGAGAAACTTTGAACTGGCTTTCTAAGAAAAGTCCTCTGGCCTTTTTATATGTTTATGGAGTATCTGAAGAAAGTGTCATATGTATAAGCAGCACTAGCCCCTCTCCAACTTTCCCATTCCTGTAAACTAAGTTAACATGCTTCCGTCACTCGTATCCGTCAGGCAGGAGTTGGCCTTCAGCCGCTCCATAAGTCCTTCTGCGGGTTTGGAGTGCCATCTGCACTCGCCCCCTAACGTCCGGTGAAGCTGTAAAGGCCAGCTGCGGCCAACAGCATTAGAGTAGTCCGAAAAAAAAGCTTCCGTCATCTGTAATTTTACTGCCTCTACTTTACATAAATAATTGAATTTCTGTCTAATAGACATCTAACTAACTGAATAAATATGTTAAAAGAGCTCAATATATTTCTTAGAGCTTTATCTTGAAAATTGTCTGCTTTTTTATTGCATTAGCAGCCTCAAAAATAAATGTACCATAATAAAGAATAGAATAGAATAGAAAATTATTTATTCAAATAAACTTACACTGAAGCACTTTTGAATAGTCATCACATTTTTTTTAATCATAAAGACCATTTCTTATTGGGTGAGTTATACATATTTAGTTTTAATTGAAATGGATGGGCTCCCCACCGTACATCCATAAAGCTTCTTAAGAAAGCACAGGCATATTAAGAAGTTGTTCACATTTAACCGATACAATGAGGTAATTTTAGAATCAGGAATTATACCTAAAAATAAAATTTTATCTATACTATATCCAACCTGTAGACTATCTACCATTCATATAATAGTCGTCATAGACTCAATTTAACACATTCACAAACCCATTGTTAAAAAAATATCGAATTCATATTCTGTAATAAAATCCATATCTATAACAAAGCATTGTAAATTGAAATAGAAACTACCTCGAAATTTAATACATGAAAACAATATGTTACAACCGGGAGGCTGTGGGCCGGACCTGAGTAATTTACGATTGAAAGTGAAACTATACTCGCAAACCTCAAAGGGTTTAAGCGTCTACACACGATCCTGAAATCGGTGGCTATAATAACAATCTATATTATCGCCATCGATTATTACATCTTTGCTTGCTTGCTGGGTAATTTAAAGAAATCGGATTGTTTTCTAAAATAAATAAATATTATTTATTTTTACCATAAACTATATATATATAAACCTCTTGAATCACTCTATCTATTAAAAAACCGTTTCAAAATCTGTTGCATAGTTTTAAAGATTTAAGCATACATAGGGACAGAGCGACAGCGACTTTGTTTTATACTATGTTGTAATAATGATTTCATCGCAGTAACTTTAGTTAGTTTAGTAAGTTAAACTTCAACATTTTTCTTAAACGAATATTGTGCGAGGCCGAGTCGAGTACCTATCGCCTTGACTTCGCACGAGTGTACATGTATAATACATATAAACCTTCCTCTTGAATCACTCTATCCATTGCTACAAAATTGCATTAATATCAGTTGCATAGTTTAAAAGATCTAAGCGAACAGTTAACGGAAGCGACATCATTGTACTCCTATGTGAAGATGTAGAAACTATTGTAGTGTATCGGTATGAGCAGTTCATAGCTCAGTGTTTTGTGGGCGCGGATTCAATAAAAACATATGTATTGATAGAATCTTAATAAATAAATAAATAAATACAGAAACACCCAGTATTATGTCTTTTGTGCAGACACTGCATTAGAAACCTTAAAAGCCGTGACAAATTACGTTCAGTCAAATTGGTTGTCGCCTATATACTCGTACCTATCTTACGTAGATATACGTATATATATGAAGTAGGTGGTAACGTATCCCGGCCGTTTTCCGCTCCTCCAATAATCCAATTCTCCCGTAATGCAAGGTTTTCTTGCCTCTACTTGTATGTGTGCATTGGAGGTTAATACGATGGAGTATCTTCATAGAATTACTTAGCTTTCACATGTAAGTTTTATATACATATATATGTATGTATGTTATAGAACTTTATATTGTAAAGATTTGTCATTATTGTAGACTGATTGTGGTATGAGGTTAACTTCGTATTGGCATTGACGGGAACGTGGTTTAAAAACATAACCTCTGAACAATTAACACGGCGCCATGTAGTCCCACGGTAAGCAAAGCTTGGGTTATGGGTGCTAGACAACTGATAGAAAACACCCAGATCGGTACAAACAATTATACTCATGAATAGAAATGTTTGCACCGTGCGAGGAATCGAACCCGCTATATCGGAAGTAAAGCAATTTACTAAACCGCTTGTACATTTTATTTTGAAATACAAAGAACTAAGTATGGTAATAACTAAGAAGTGCTTCCATAATTGGATTTTTGTTCTTTTTATTTTATTTGAAATGCAAATAACTAAGTAAAAAACTAACGGGGTGCCGTGTGTTGGCGGTAGAGGCGGTGGCGGCGTGACCGTGGCGGCGCCATGAGCGCGGCCGCGCTGCGGGCGGACGGCGCGGGCGACTCTACGCCCGGCTCCGACGTAGGCGAGCGGATCACACGCCTCTTCCCCAAGTGTCGCCCGAAGAACATGCAGCACCAACACGACAGGTGACTACAAAGATTTTTTAATTCTTGGTTAATTTAGGGAATTTTTCATATAAAACTCGACCAGAAGTGAAAGTAGGCCATCCGCCACTTGATAACCTTGAAACAACAATAATGGACAAGTTGGTACTTAGATAACCAAGAATTCTCTGGCGCAAATGCACAGACAAAAGAAGATTAATTTAGGGACCTTGTTATACCAAACTCGACCAGAGATAGAGACAGACCACGGACCGCTTGATAATCTTGGAACAACAATAATGGACAACCTTAGTACTCAGACAACCCAGAACTGATATCTCTGGCGAAAATGTACAGGAAGACCGAAGAAGATCAATTTAGGGACCTTATTACACCAAACTCCACCAGAGGTAGAGGCAGGCCAACCGCCACTTGGTAACCTTGGAACAACAATAATGGACAACCTTAGTACTCAGACAAACCAGAACAGATAACTCTGGCGCAAATGTATAGGGAGACCCGACCTCAGATAAACTGGGAACATAGGTCAAAAAAGATTAATTTAGGTACCTGTGTACATTTTTGGTACGTCAGTCGCCAGATAAACTGGGAACATGAGTTCAATTAAAAGGTAAATTTAGGGATTTTCCCCACTTTTGTTACGTCAGTCTCATCGTAACGCTAGCGCATCACGCGCCACTTTCCCAATGTCGCCTGAAGAACATGCGTGCTACATGTTCTTCAGGCAGGGGTCTTAAAAAGTTTTTTTTTGTTTATTATTAATTTAAGGACTTTTGTCTATATTTGGTACGTCAGTCCCATGATAAGGCGAACGACAGTTGACCAAATCGTTATACTATGAAGTCTAGTGAACGTCATCTGCCGTTCCGAGGGTAGTTAAGAAGCCGCACAAACATCTTTTTTATAAAAATAGTCCTTATGCATATATAACTTTAAAGTTCTGTTCTTATTTTCTGTCTATCTGTTCTTATATCGGAAACTTATTGGTAACAATAGCCTATTCATTCTTTAAAGACCGGCAACGCACTTAAAACTCCCCTGTGTTGCAGTGGTACTCATGGGCGGCGGTAACCACTTACCAACAGGTGTGCCGAAGGCTCGTTTTACCCGTATACTATAAAAAAAACATTACCTTGGATATCACGTCATCATGTAACACCCGTGATACACCTCATTTCACCTGTCAACTGAAACACTGCTTGAAAAAAAAAGTTGCTTGGCAGCTGAAAGAAATGAAGGACAAAGGCTACTTAACTTATTTACTTCTAAATTGCGTGGATAAATATCATCATACCAGATTTTATTACTATATATATTTTTCCATTGTTTACGCAAACTTCTAATTCATCCAATTAACTTACTCTAATATTATATTTTGTTATATTTAAATTAAACAAAATTATGTCTTATTTTCGAGTAGTGGCTCTACTGGAAATCAGCGCAGCAGTGACACTGCGGCGACACAGTGGAGGCCCTTCCAGCTTATAGCGCAATCTTAGTTTTTAAGTTCTTTAATATTTTTCGTTGTAGGCTATTAATAAATTATTGTTATTATTTTGTGAAATGAAATTAGAACCTAGTTTACAAAGAGAATTATGATTTAAGAACCTGATAAAAGAGTTCAATTGTCGTTGTTTGCTTTCGTAAACTAAACTGTAAGTTTAAATAGGAATTCAACATTTCTCTTTGTTGTAAATTAGCTTATAGTTTCCTCGCAAATTGGAGCTAGGAGTTATAGTTGTGGAAGTGTACCAATTAACGTTATTGTTTATTTAAAACTGAGCTAGTGTCTCGTCCTTTTCAAATGGTTTCGGAAATAGTGGGTTATGCGACGGAAATAAAGCAATTTTTGGCCGACTAATGTTGGTTGGATGAGGCTTTCATTATTACTCGACCGACAATTGCTTTATTTCCGGGACCGAGTCTGGGCGGTAATGTATTATAAATGCATAGATATATGAATGTGCTGACTAATAGAAAGGAGGGTTGAAACCGGGTTTATATAATTCATACTATAGCAACCCGTTGACGTCCCCTTACAGGGGTTTTTCCCATAACATGATGATATTAGTCTACTGTTACTGTTGATACGCTGGTCGGTTGATACACTCGGTGTAGTATTTATTATAATTTTCTGTAACATCTACTACTTGTAACAGAGTTACGATATATTCACACTTTCAAGAACTTATTCCTTCTTAAAAGGCCGGCAACGCACTTGCAATTCTCTTGGTGTTGTATGCTTATAGGCGGTGATAATCACTTACCATTAGGTGTACTTACCAGCAAGCTCGTTTCTATGCTATAAAAAAAACTTACTAAATTACTATACCCCACAGATCACACACAATTCTCGCGATTAACCACAGAGTAGCTTCGTACAGAGTACGAATCAAACAAGCTTAATCATATTTTTCTTACCAATTTGTAATGTTTAATGTTACACATATATAAGTTTGGAGTTGGGATAGCTTGTGTTTTGAATAACGACTAGTGAATATACAAGTATGTAATTGGGAATGCTTATATCCGAGGTAATTTAATAACATTTGTACCTCATACAAATTTATATAAAATGAAGTTGGAATTCCTTGTGTTTTGTAAATCATCTAAAGCATTTAAGACTACATAATTCGGAATGCTTCTATCCAGCTAATATTAAATTATACTCTTTGTATGTTCTATTTCTACCTTATGTAAACTGTAACATACAGTCTAATGAGAACTTCATTTTACGAAATCCAAAGTACAACATGGAGTTTACCACTTTAACATTAATTATTGTTTATTCCAGACTGAACTCCGGGTTGGAGGGGCGTGACATGAACAATGTCAACAACGTCTCCTCCGACGAGGAGAGGAATGACAGCCAGCTGGTTATACTCAACTCTAAAGGGGGGACCTACAAACTTAGAGACTCTAGGTAAGTTACTTCGCGCTTGTCTGAAAAGTTGACTCTAGAAAGTTCTACACTCCAATACTGGCTTTTGTATAACGAAGTCAGAAGACAATTTTCACCTCTTCTTTTGATTCTAAAAATCGAGATAAGAAGATCGATTTAAGAGAAGACTACTTAAAATAAACTATACTATGCTGCCTGGAATTACATAATTATACGCCTAATTGTTCTATTAAATCGCAGTCGGTCAGCCGTCAAATAGATACTCCAATAGATTTAACGTTACAATAGGCTCCGATTAGTGCATTTATTTGCAACGCCTCGCTCACTTTAGAGCTTTGAACAATCAAAGAACTGTCCATGTGCATGTATATGGTCAGTACAATTTAGTATGCTATTACAGGCATTGGCATATCATGAATGGTAGTGTAATATGGAGTCTGAGGAGAGATTATTATTCACAAAACCTGCAACTCAGCATACAATTCTTAAAACTACTCTTACTAAATAGTGGAGACTCATTGTTTAGCATTAAAAAATGAATGACTGACTGTTTTTTTTTTAATAATAAATGCACGTTATTAATGTTGTTAATTGGGTAAATACGCCTATAGAGCTTTCTACTTAAACCCACTGTTATGCACGAATGCTACGGGATATGTTTTTATTTCTATCACCCGAGAGGTGATAGAAATAAAAACATATCCCAATTTTCAACTGGAAGGCCACCCGAATTAGACCGAAACCTGTGATAAAAATAGAAATTAAAAAATATTCCAATTAAAACCGGGTAGGCTTAAAATTAACATCGCCGTGGAATCCAGTGATAAAAAGTTCAGTAGCATCAGTGAAAATGTGTGCGGATACCGTGAGTGCTGTGTCGTAAACTTAGTTAGTTAGTAAGTTGGATAATCTAATAATTGTAGTACAGAAACCTGCTAGCACCTGCTAGCACCTTCTGAAATTGTATCTCTGTACTCCAGACAACTCGTGACCACGACTATTGCATCGTAGTTGAAACTAATATGAATTTGTATTACACTTCTGTTACCAGGATTATAGAAATAGCGGGAGGTCGAGAACTGTACTCGCAAAGTCGGACGAAGGCAGTTCGTAAGATAAGACATAACAACACGCACAAACACAACTTGAGAAACAAAGTGCGTTCACTCAATAAAGACACCGTTGACTACGCGGATAATCATAGCAATGAAGTAAGTTCATTAATTTACTTATTTGTAATTGTATAGGTCAAACTAGCGGAACTACTACTAAACGTTGATTTGTCATATAAATTATAATAAAATCGTTGTAAAAAATAGGGGTTGGAGATAGAAGGATGAAAATGTAAAAAATAATAAAAAAAACTCTAGAAAATAAAAAAATTATGTGTTGGTGGACAACCACATAGGGATATAAAAATAGATACTGATTCTCAGACCTACTGAATATGGATATAAAATTACAAAAAATGGGTCAAGCCTTTTCGGGGGAGTATGGTAACTAACATTCTGACAGATTTTTATATATAAGATATCTTGCTTTCGTACTTTTTATTATAGGTGTTTAATGATAATGTGATGTCCATAGTACTGTTCATGTATATTAGCGATGGGTTACCATCAGGTGGATTATGAGTTTGCCATTCCAAATATTTATTTATTTGAGCGCCCAACAAAGACATACACTGTGAGGTTACAATTACTGTCTCTTGCAAGAAGTTCAGGTATATAGTGTTGACTTAATTACTGGTTGCCACGGCATGTTAATCTTTACAAAAGTTGACATAAATAATAAAAACTATATTTTTACTAATTACGCTATCTTCCAGATACCTCTCCACAGAATAAGCAATGAACCGAAAAAGATGATATCCAGACACACATCACCTACCTACACTAACGGGGACAGAGATCCAATCATTGAAACAAACACAATGGGTATTCCCAAGAATAGTTCTCCGATACTGGACCCCCATAAGACTAATGACGTCAGCACAAAAAGCAGTCCCATAGCAGTCGTGGCTGATGGGGAAGTTGTTGTCTTTGACGACAATGATGACTGGAAAGGTAATATTGGATTTTTTCTTGTGCTTTTCGTTTAAGGCTTCGCTAAATGCGTAACTGTATTTGCCAAAGAAATATGTTTAATTGACAATTTAAATAAGTATTTATAACTGGCTGTTACCCGTTTGTCTGACTCAAACCTCCCCTATTTCATTTAAACTCTTTCCAGATTATTTTTATTGGGTCTTAACAAATATATCAAATAAAGGAAAAGGTATCTTTGATTATTTTTGTATATATTATTTAACAATAACTTAATAATAATAAACATACCTGGACAATTCTCACAGCGTCTTCTAGATCCAAACTAAGCAGAGCTTAGGGTTATGGATACTAGATAACTAATATATATATTTTAAAGAAATATATAATATAACTAAAAAATACATAAATCAGTCATACTAATGAATACAAATGTTTGTACCGTGCGAGGAATTGAACCCGCTGCTATCGGAAGTAAAGCGGTGTGCAAAACGACGAGAACTCCGAGGCCATCGCCTTTCATGTCAAATTTCATTATGATCCGTTGAGCTGTTTAGTCTTAAAAAATTAATAAATAGATAGACAATCTTTCAGCTTTATAATATTAAATATGGATTTAAAAAGATATCTATACATATAAATAAAATTGGAGTGTCTGTTTGTATATTGTATTGTTTGTATATTGAAATAACCGTTATTTACTACATGCATATGAGTATAAATACGGTACATATACCAAAATATTTTTTTTTATAATTTTTGTCTCTCTTTCTGTATGTCTGTCTGTTTGTTCCGGCTAATCTCTGAAATGGCTGGACCGATTTTACGGGACTTTTTTTAGCAGTATCTGATGTAATAAGGAGTAACTTAGACTACTTTTATTTTAGAAAAATAAAGTTAAAATCCACGCGGCGAAGACGCGGGAACAGCTAGTCGTAAATAAATTTAATCTGTTTATAGAGAGGTTTAGTTTTTAAGAATAAGCTTCATTTGCATTATTGTGTACATATATACATGTACACACTTAAGCAAATTGATGCTTCTTGCAGTAAATGTTGTAAAAAATACTAATCTGTACGAAAATTTATTTTGTCTCATTATTTTAATCAAACTCATATGATTGGTTATTGTCCTGTTTCACAAACCTTTTTGCTTTGAAATCTTTGCTCTCGCTTTATTTTCACCAGCTATTTCTATTTACGCCTATATCATTTATACGTTTACAATTTTATTATTCAAAAATTTTTTTAATTTAATTTGAATTCCTAAATTAATCACGATGTTTTTGTTAATTTAAATATCTGATATTCTCAAATGTATGTCAGTTGATATTTTTGGATATTATTATTGTATTTCTGGTGCGTACCGACCTTTTTTCATCCTTCCCAATTAACCATTGTTATTCACAACATATTTTTTTCTCTTTCTTTTATTTTCAGTGATATTGAATTCTGTGTCTCTAGGTTTGAGGACGGAACCCGATGCTAGTGATGACGAGATAGATATGAGTGTTAAAAGGACTTTAGACAATATTAAAAATGGTCATAGTGATGTGATGAACAATAAAAGTGAACTGAGCTGTGATGGGGGGAGTGAGTCTACTCCCTCTAGGGAAGATGCGAGGTTAAGCGACGCCAGTCCATCTGGTGTCTGGTTATCTGGTGATGAAGATAAGAACAGGGTTACTAGAGTGATAGGGGAACTCCCAATAGCTGAATATGAAGGGTCGCCGAGAAGATACGGAATTGGTACGCAAAAAGCCACAAATAAATCGCCAAGACCAGGATTTCCTCAGGTTAGTATATAGCAGTAAAATAATGTGTGAGTAGTAATGCCTTTGTAAAAACTCGTTTGCGTGAACCAGAGTCAATCTATAGAGTGACTACTGGTGAGATTTTGGAATGTCACTAAATAGCAACCTAGGTGTATTTTTTTATTCTATTTAATGTCATCTGCTTTCATAAACGAACGTGTTAATTCGCCATATTATTAATAAAACTTGTTTTTTTTTCCTAGAAATAAAAATAACCTTTCTTCAAATAAATTTTTATAGAAGCACTTTTGAATAGTCCTATTTTTATGATTGACTCATTCCGAACACAGACTCAACATAAGAAGTATAAGCAATAAGCTTGTGTGTTATCTTTTAAATAAATGTTGTTCAGAGTTACATTTTTATGATTTTGTGTGTTGAGATAAGTAAATAAATAGCTTGTTAAATAATACAATAATTATTATTATATCAATAAATATTATATAATAGTTATCAGAGCAGACCAGCCCTTACAAGCAGCACTCGTTCACGAGTATAACAGGGGAACCAGCCGTCACTGCGTCAACCATATTTTAGGGAGCCCCACCACACTACCGCTTGACTGGTCATTAAGTGATCATGGCTAATTCATAACTAATTCTTAATCATCTTTCCTAACGTTTCCTTGTAGAGGGTGGTGACAGAGAGCAGAGACGTCACCCCACCGTCCGGATCGGCCGCTTTCGACTATCTCTATGAATTCTCGGAGACGAGAAAGGTGCTAGAAGAGTTCTTCAAATGTCCAGCCGTCGCTGGACAGATGGCGTTGAATAGCAACGACGAAATTGTTAATTTTCAGGTAAAATCCTTTCTTTAACTAAATAAAAATTGTATATCTGGTACGTAAGCCCACTTACATACCATAATTACGTTCCACTTTCATACCATAATTATTTGCAAAACAATTATAGTATGGATCACATTATTTTTAATATAATGTTTTTGAATTTCGAACATTGATTTAGTGTTTTCTATTACTAAATGTCACACATAAAAACTAAATCTTTCTTCTTTATATATCGCACATCTTGTACAATACTAAATGAATAAAAAAAATGGATAATAAAATTTTATGCTTAAATCTAATTTCAAAATTATTAATATTAGTAACATACCATTATTGTACTTACTAAATATGGAATATCGTAGTATGATATAAATTTAAAGATGACATCCATCTTGAATTTCGTTCTTTAGTTAAGCAGCTGTCAAAATTTAAAATTGGAATAGACGAATCGTCGACAATAAATATTTTTCTTTATCTATTTTCTTAATGGCTATTTATCAATCGACAATATTTTTACGTTTCAGGACCTAGATTACGAACTGAGACGTCAAACTCAAGACTGTTTATCGGAGAACGGTATGGATGGTAGTGACTCGGAGTGGCCCCAAGTCGCGGATACCTTACATTCGCCGCACACTGCCCATAACCATACCAACTTCTTAGGATTACAGGTAATGAGTTTTTTTTTACGACCCGATGGTTTAGGCATATAAGATACTGCCTTACCCCTGCTTTTTGATGGGCGCTGTATCGAATTCCATACTATATAAACATTCATAATTATAGATTAATATGCGTATTATATTCATAGCATTTGTTTTTATATAAAATAAGTCTAGAATTAATTTATTCTCTTTAATACTAGTTGACACTGTTCAAGTTCTGCAAGATTATTTATTTAGAAGTCATCCATAAATTAATTATACATTAAGAGACCGGAGAGAGGGGGACCGCCAAATTGTGACAATGTATATAACAAGGGGTTGAAAAAGAAACTAATGAAATTGATGACGAATATGTAAAAGTGAAACATTTCTCATCGGAAATTGTTTCATTATTTAAAGAATTACATTAAAAATATTATAGTATTGATAATGTCAAAGTTAATTGAAGCATAGAATAATACCAATCAATAAATTTTCAGTCATATTTTCATTCAAATATATTACAATGTAAATCATGATAATTTAGTTGGTATCTAATATTTATTCATGAATTAACTTGTAGTGTTACATCACTTTTTACAACAACTACCTCTCCTAAATATTTGATAAAAATATTATTCAAGAATTAGTTTGTAATATTTTTAATGGAGTAAATAAAATATTTTTTTCATGTAAGACATTCTATAGGAGCTTTTTAACAAGTGTCAAGAGCATGTCTAGTTTAGTATATTAATATTTTCTCCCTACCTTAACTTGAAGTTCTACATGATAATAAAATGGTGCACCCGCCTGCGCTAACGATATACGCTGGCGAGGCACCAGTGGAGGATGACGAGATGAACTCAGTAGCCCATCGCGATAAATTCGCCATAAATTTATCACGATGGTTTCCAGGGAGAACCACGTAGTTTTAACCTGATATGGTATGATAGCAATGGGATTCTTAGTCCACCTTAACAACAGTCCCCTTCTAACTACTGTACTATTTGTTTCCGTACACAGCAACAAAGATCCCGGTACCCGGAGCCGAACGTGTCGGAGCTGAGCGTGGGCGCGGCGTGGAGCGGGTCTGCGTCGCCGGCCACGCAGCGGCGGGACCGCGTGCCGTTCGCGCTCTCGTCCGACACGAGCGACACCGGCAGCGAACTCTCGCTCATGATCATGGAGAACGAGCTCTCCGAGATGAAAGGGGAGACGAGTACGTATGCTGCCCTTTACTTAATATAAACCCTTTTTTTACGAGCAGAAAATGCGTCTTGGAGACCCGCCCGCTCCAGGGGTAACGAACGGGTACTGCGGGACTCCTACCGGCTAAAACCTCAAGTAATACCTTTATCGATTATTGCCGGAGCACGCACCTCATTCTCGAAAGTTCTGGCCTCGGGACGAATCCCTTTTCCCCTGCAGCTACTCCGGGGGCTAGCGCTCCCGGGTAACGAAGTCAAAGCCTCCCATTTACTCCTTTGGACTAGATAGCGTTGTGTGTTGTTAATATCCAGGGTTGTTATTAAATATTATAAGATACTATGCGGGAAGTTATCTCCGAACATCTCACCTTAGTAGAATAACTAGTGGTGTACAAGTAAATAACGTAAAATAACAGATAAACATAAATATATACCTGAACAAAATAAATATAACGTCTACTCTCCATGTAGTATCCATATTTTACATGAAACCAGACAAGATGACAATATGCTCTCTTTCTCTTCTCAGCCAGTCTGATCATCGATTGCAAACCTCGTTCTATACCTTTTATATTTTTGTACCAGTGCAAATCGACTCGACCCGTGTGGTGGTGACTCACCTCCCGATCGTCGAGGATGGACTCTCATCAGGACATGGCTCTGACACCGACAACAATAACCAATTGCCGTCTTTACAAGTAATTTCTTTTTTTTAAATTAATAGTACTAATTTTTATAACTTATGACCTATGTCATACAGTCTCATACATATTTTTTTTTCTTATGGCTGATAATGGAATGGTGCACCCGTCTGCGCTAACGCTGGCGGAGCTGTTATTTATTTGTCAGTTAAATAAATAAATTTAAATATAATAATGAATAAGTTAACGGTTTAAAACTTTTTAGGATAGTTATTGGTATTTAAATGTATACTTATTAATATGTTTTCTTTAATTCCAGACTCACACATCAGTAATCATAGAAGAAATCATTGAAAACGGAACTACTACGGATCCTCACGTTCTATCAGATGCCGATTTACATTCTTTGGATCCTTTAGGTGACGAACAAATTAACTTTATTCTTAGTATAGTCATCCTCATAATGCGACAATTTATTAACATGCCACTTCTGGGTGTGGTTTTTTTCTCATCAGAGAAGATGACGAGTTTTGGTAAAATAAATAAATAAATAGTGTTACCACTTACTTATATCCTTCTTGTAATGTTCTTATTAGTGGTAAACGTTGGTTTGGATATGCGTTTTCTTTTTATTTGACAGTTGCCACCCCACTTTCAGCGTGCGGCGAGGTGCCGCCGCCGCCGCCGGCTCCGGCGCCGCACCGCCCGCCCGAAGCCGCGCTGCCGGTGCCACACGCGGCCGCGCCGCATTTGCCGCATTCGCCGCATTCCGCGCATTCGCCGCATTCGCAGCACGCGCCGCATTCACCGCATTCGCCGCATCACCACCACGCGCCGCATGTTGCGCACCATGACGACGTGTATCCACCGAGGTACAGTCAACTTCATTTGTGCTATTAAAATTAATAATAGTACTTGGACAATTCACACATCGCCATCTAGTCCTAAATTGAGCAGAGCTTATGTTATAGGTACTAGACATCTGTTATAAATACTTTCTTTTTTGTAAATACATACGTAGTAGAAAAAACCCAGAACGATACAAACAAGCATACTTATGAATACAAATATCTGTACCGTGAGAGGAATTGAACTCGCAAACCACTGAAGACTAGCATGGCTAAATTCGGAATAAACGAATAGTGGGCGATGTTTTTTAAAGCAATAATTCGTTTGAGGTGTCAGCGAACCACAGTAACTAATATTAACGTTTCCCACTAGTATATTTTTCCTTAAACAAGTTTATTTTAAAAATACATGTAATGAAAAAATACGATTATCCCAAAAAACGAACTTATTTTTAGCACATTCGTATGTATGAACAATCTGAATCGGTATAAAACATTTGAAAAATAGACAAGACATTGGAATTATAATTAATTTTCAGAACGACTCTTTACTCTGCTTACTCTATTATTATAGTAACTATAAACACCTTTATATTTATTGTAGTAATAGAGTAAACCGAAAACGAAACGTAAATATTTACGGTAAAATTTCGTTTAAGTGTATTGATATTGCGCTTGTTTTAGGGGTGACGCCAGATCTCTGAATAGGTATGCAACGTATACTAAAGCAGGCCTACAACGTAATTTTATTACACTCTTAAAACTTTTCCGTTTTTACCTTTACACAGAACTGTCAATATCTAAACTGCATACTTCTACAGTAGTAAGACAGAGTTCGAAAACAAACTAGATTGATGTTTGTCTAATTAAACTATTCAAACACACAGCTACTCTATATTAATATTATTGTTATTTTAACGCATTTACAGAAAACGGCCATCATCCGCTCAGAGTACAGAATCAGTAGAAATTAAACAGGCTAGCGGCGACGAAGGTAATGAAATCATTTTTGTTCAAAAATCAAATCAAAATATATTTACACTCACATATCATAAGACTCTATAACAGACCTACAAGAATATGTAGAGTCTTATGATATGTCAAATCTACCGTCAGTTCGGAGTGCTTTCGAACTAAGAATAGCTAAAAGGAAGTTAAGCTCTTATTCTTTTCAAATTAATTTGTACGTGATTACAAAAATACAGATTTATTTATAAATTAAAATTATAAACTCTTTATTGTACCAATAGATATTTTATAAGAATTATACATAAAAGAGATATGGATGTACAAAAGGCGGTCTTATCGCAAGAAGCAAGCTGTTGTTCAAAATTAAATTTTAGACATTCAATATTATTTTTCTCTAGCAGTATATACCAATGTACCAGTATATGAAAGACGCTTCTTCTAATTAATTTCTATAATAGCAAATTTAAAAATAGAATAATAATATTGCAATTTCAAGAAAGTCGTTGGTGTTAACTGGCCTAAAAACAATATGTACCTAATACATTAAATCACAAAATTCAATTTAGCATGTAAAATATTCAGTGTACTTCCTATTTTAACATTAGCTATGTAAATTGATATTCAATTGTAATATTGTTGGCAAGAAATAAATAATATAGTATTCTTAATTTAAAAATTGTTGTTCCTAAATTAAATATTAATCAAAATAAAATAATTATATTATATAAAACACGTGAAGAAGAAGAAGAATACAAAATTAATGCCCGCATGAAAAAGTTCTAAATGATATGTTGTAATATTCCAGATGAAGCGGACACTGATTTAGAGACTGACAGACTACTGGGGCAACAGAGGACTGATGACCAGGGTTTCTTCGATGAGAAAGTGAGTCATATCTAATACATATAATAATAATAATAATAATAAATAATACACAGTAGAAAAATTAATTGAAATTCAAACATTTAGAATTAAATACATATCAAAATTGAATAAAAATATCTATCTCACTAATATTATAAACACGGAAGTTTGAGAGTCTGGATGAATGGAAGGATATTTATTATGCAAACTACTGAATGAATTTTAATGAAACTTTACTATAATATAAATTATTCATCAGAACAACACAAGCTATAAACACGCGGGGAAAATATTTATATACAATACACGCTGGCGAAACCGCAGTCACAGCTTGTATATCATATATTACAAAATATCTATTTATATAATATCAGATATAAACAAACACGTCTCACAACAAATTAAACGTTCCTAAAACACTATGAACACTGATCACTGAGTCAGCAACGTAACATGATGTAATTCGTCAGCTGTAAACAGCATAGGCCAGTCGCTCGCGCAGCCAACCGACCTTGCTCTCTTATTTATTATTCTTGGCCATAGATTATTAAGGTTAGCTGGTTACCGCGTATTTTATTGTAAGTGTATACCTACCGGTTTTGTAACTGAGTTTGTTTATAAATAGATACTTTTATTATACACAGAATTAATTTATTTATATATTTTTTTATATTTATATACTTACTTTTTGCATTGCAATTAATATAATTTTACTTATTAATTTATTTTAATAAATATTTTTCTGTTTATATTTTTATAAATTGCTTAATCCCAAATACTATATAATAAAGTATATTATAAATATATGTAAGTCAAATTACTTATATTTATAATATATTTTATTATTTACAGAACGAAAGGGGTGTAAATATAACAAACTGTTTTATGTTTATAATATGTAAGATTTTATTGCAAGGTCGAATTATATTCATAGCAACATTATAAAAACACATTAAAATTATCTATACAAATAAATAATATTGAAATTATAATTTGAAATTAACATTTCACTAAATGCAAATGATAGTATATTGCGGTATTTACATCAAAATTAATTTTATACAAATATCTTTGAAACGGCCGAATTGATTTTGACGGGACGTCCACTCGCAGATAACTAATGTTATATGGAGGTTATATTATTATAAAAATTTTAATTATTTAATAAAAAAAAACTTAAATTCCACGCAGATGTTGTCGCGGATGACATCTAGTTACTATATAATTTTGGATCAAGACTATCATAATATATAAATATCACTCGCGATTATGTAATCTATTCTCATTAGAGTACTAATTACATAGGTACAAAAAACAATGCTATGTACAGTCTGCATGCTTAATCTTTGCCGCGAAGTATTTACACATTGAAATCACCGACGCTTGAACGCATCAGTATTCGTACAACGTGTACGAAATCAACATGTGTGCGTGCATGATAACACTGATAAGACAGTCGCATCGGAAATGTGCTACCGTACTGATAACAGGAATCGTATTGGTAATGCCAAGTGAAATACATAATGAGTGACGAGGAAAAGTCGCCTTGTTTGGACTTAAATAGTGAAGTTGTTGAAGAATTAGAAGCATATAGGGATGTGACGGACACAAATGAGTGTAGTGTGACAAATGAGTGCAGTGTGACAAATGAGTGTCTGAAAGAGACAGATAATTGCCAAGTCGATAATGAGTGCGTGGTCGAGAGTAGTGAAGGAGAAGAGGTAAACATGTATAGAAAATTATCGTAAATTGTAAGATGAAATTTTCCACGTCTGGATTGTTAACTCAACGACAATGTTTTGTTGTAGGGTAATGTTAGACATGTTTATTGCCGTGGCTTCTGGTATAAAATCTGTCTTAACATATCTATGCAATTGTCCAGATGGTTGATTATTCGATTTTTTAATTTCTTATAACATATTTATATAATCCTAGTCCAGATGGTTGACAATCCGGATTTTTCTTATATTTGATACTTAATAAAACTTGATAAGTAGTTTCGAAGTTATGAGAGACAGGTGAACATACCGTCACACAAACATTCATATCTTTGCTTCTGTAATCGGCCGTGGCTTCTAGTATAGAACCTATTTTAACATTACTTCCAGATGTTTGACTATCCAAATTTTTTTTATATTTGATACTTTTTATAAGTAGTTTCGAAGTTCGGAGGGAACATATGAACATACATTCACACATACATACATATATGTTTGCTTCGCCGTAGTCGGTTTATACTTTAAGTTTTACATTTTCCTTCTATTCTGATCCTTCGACATTTTTTTTTCTTCCGAGAGGTTGAAATATGTTGTTTATTTGTAATACTACTTTTTCTATAGAAACAAGATTTAAATTTATGTTATCTTTCTTAATATATAAAATTCTCGTATCACACGTTTCGTGTTTATACTCTTCCGAAACGGCTTGACCGATTTTGATCAAATTTTATATGTCCATTTCGTAGGTTTATAACTAAATTTTATCTCCCTAAGAGTTAAGGATGGCTCACCCAAAAAAATTTTTTTTCTTTTTTTCTACAATTTTTAATTTCTATTTTTTTATTATGTGGCATTAAAAATACATATAGCCTTAAATTTTCACCCTTCTACCACCAACCCCTATTTTTTAATAACGATATTATGTTATATGGCAAAACAATGTTTGCCGGGACAGCTAATATATTATAAAACGCTTTTTTCGCCTAAGAGAGTAATCTATCTAAGACGTAAATAGCTTTTTATATTTGAATAAATATTTTTTCTTTCTTTTATTATTTTTCTACTTAAAAAACAAATCATAGGATTCGGAGAATATCTATATAAAAAAATAGTACCTTCGAATAGTTGTCCATTACAACGCAGGGGTGGCGCAAGCCGAAGTCCCGCACGGTGATGCCGGCCGGCAGCGGCTCGGGCTCCGCTCGGTCGCCGCCGCACGCGCACGACGCCACCGACGGCCACGCGCGAGACCTCACGCACCCTAGGGACGACGACGCCCTCCACAACGGGAAGGTACGGCGCCTTACACAATTTTACAAGTATTAATGTTTAATCATGATGGATGTGTGGGGTCACCAGGAATGACAGAATAAGGAATGTGTATGTACGAGGAAGTTTGAAAGTTGCGCCGGTTATAGAAAAGTTGCGAGGTAACAGATTAAGCTGGTATGGGCATGTTATGCGGAGGAACGAGGATCATGTCTTATGGAAAGTGTATAATATGAATGTGGATGGATGTAAAGGGGTCGCCCTAAGAAAAGATGGATGGATTGTGTGAAAGATGATTTGAATAAAAGAAGAGTATGCTCAGATATGACGACCGATAGAGAGCAGTGGAAGAGAATAACATACTGCGCCGACCCCAAATAATGGGATAAAGGCAAGGCAATGATGATTATAATATTTAATAATAATTCTACGAAGACACTCTCCGCAACGGGAAGGTACGGCGCCTTACACAATTTTAAAATAGTAACGTTTAATAATAATTCTTTAATATTTGACCGCTTCGGACCACCGAAGGTGTGTGCCAATCCGCAAGTCCACTGGTGGATTAGCACACAGTTTTATTTCCAATGGCCGTGGGTTCGTTTCCTCGCACGGTAAACTTTTGTATTTATGAGTATTATTGTTTGTATCGGTCGGGGTGTATCTATAAATATTATGTACGTATTTACAAAAAAAAAATCTAAGTGTTTATATCACTTGTCTACATAACACAAGATCTGCATAACTTAGATTGTGTCGGTCTGGGTGTATCTATGTATATTATGTACGTATTTACAAATAAATAAATATCTAAGTTTTTATGTCACTTGTTTAGTACCCATAACACAAGCTCTGATCAGCTTAGAAAAGAATTATAATAATTTTATAATCAAAGATTCAATTATGATAATTACAATTACATTACATACATTACATTTTAAAAAAATATAGATACCTAACTATAATAAATCAATGAGTTTCTTGCTAATTGTTGTCAAATGAAGTAGACAGTATGATAAAAAAAATTACATGATAAATGGTATGAATTGAAAAGTAAGAAAGTAGTAAGAATAAAAAATAAAAAATCTCGAATTTAATTATTAATTTTCGAAATTTACAAAATTTAATTTACATTAAAATTAAAATTTACGTTTAATTTAAATTTTAAAAGATGACATTTGATTTTTCAGGATAAGGAGGGGAAGAAGAAGAACAAAAATAAAGAAGGTGAGTTTGTTTGATTATTTGTTATTTCCTTAAGAAACCCGAATTAAGAATTGTAGAGTCACTATCTCCTGTTAAATTTTATTTCTGTAGCAGTTATTATTACCATAAATAATTCTAAATAACAAAATCCACATCGGTAATCCAAGATGGAGTTAATTGAAATATTGATTCATTAGTCTATCATAGAAAATTCACTTGGTTCCTAGGTAGAACTGCCTGGAAGACTACCTGATATTTAAAGTAAATTTTTGCTTAAGATAAATACTTTTTTTTTCGAATTATTCTAATGCTGTTGGCCGCAACTGGCCTTTACAGCTTCACAGATAAGGGCCGAGTGCAGTTAGCATTCCAATCCGCAGAAAGACTTATGGAGCAACTGAAGCCCAACTTCTGCCAGATGAATTCTACCTTTGTCTGAGGGCATCACTAGGGGTTCGAATCTTAGCTGGCCGTCGTACTCTCGATCCCCGTGGCAGTAACCCGAACAGACCAGTTAATTCAATAAAATAGTCTTATTGCTATAACGTTCTTATGCATAACCTCTAAGCCAATTATTGGACTCGGACCATATAGCCCTATCACATGGAGTATCTAATAATTTTTGAAACGGAGGTTTCATAAATTATTGAATACTGCATAGTTAGGGATATAGTGTACTAAATAGGGCTATAATGTCCTAGATAGGGCTATAGTGTCCGAGATAGGGAGATAGAGTCCACAGATGGGCCCAAACCCCCATCTTTGAGAAGTCCTGTAATCGATCTCACAGATGAGGCGTTAATGTCATTTTAACAACTAACAGTTGAAAGTGATTTCCGTATAAGGTTATTAACTATGTGGCATACAACGTTCATGCTTTCTTTTTAATTTACGCATTTCCTGGATATTTTTCATGGTGAGTAGGTAGTGTAGCATTACGCAAAATCTATTGCATATTAGAAATCATTATTAAGTCTTCAATTAATCTTTCAATCTTATTTACATTTTATCGTATCTACTTACATTTATGACATAATAACGTTACATTTTAAAGATTACATTATCTTTAAAATAAAAATATCTTTTACTAGCTGTGCCCGCGTGAAATTTATAGCCTATACGTTATTCTGATTTATAAGCTTCTGTAAAGTTTCATCACAATCCGTTCAGTAGTTTTTGCGTGAAAGAATAACAAACATCCATCCATACTCACAAATTTTTGCGTTTATAATATTATTAGGATTCATCAAGTGCGCTGTCAGCTTATTTACCATTCGAATTACATTAAAAAAGGTCATAATGCTTTTAGTAGTAGTGGTCAGATCTCCGCACAAAATATTTGTCATCATCAATTGTCACGCGTAAACTAATGACGAACAATTAACTCATCAAAGTGCATGTTGTTAGTATTTTTTTTATTTATAACAATATTAGCTGAACTGGCAAACGTTGTTTTGCCATATAATTTTATATTGCTATTAAAAATAGGGGTTGATGATGGAAAGGTAAAAATTTTGAATCGAATGTATTTTTGAATGCCGAATCATAAAATAATTATAATAAAAAAATGTATAGAAAATAAGTTTTTGAGGTGGACCTTAACATTTAAAAATAGTTTACGTCCTATTCTCAAACCTACTGAATATACACATAAAATTTCATTAGAATCTGACACGAGAATTTTATATTTTAGATTTAAAAAACATTATATAATCTGTGATTGATCTAGTACTAGCATATATATAATTAGTTTAAATAAAATGCGCTGTTATCAATTTCAGATGCTGCACGGAAAGTTCTCATAGAGGGCGTTTTGTTCCGAGCACGGTACTTGGGCTCCACACAACTAGCTTGCGAGGGACAGCCAACTAAAGCGACCAGGATGCTGCAGGCTGAAGAAGCAGTCTCGAGAATTAAGGTATGAGGGTACCACTAAACATTGCGAATCAGTCTAATCAAGTTTAAAATTATTTTCATAATATGCGTTTTTAAATGTCACCAGAAGAAAAAAAAGTTGTCATAGAGAGCATAGAGTGATGCGTATTTAATATTTTTGAATGATGACGTTTCTAAATTAGTCAGAAAACTGGAATTAGCAAACAGTCGTTGATGTTAGTTTCTCTATTTTCAATAATATTCGATTAATTTAGTATTTATTACATCTTTTCAATAATAACGAACTGTATATCTTAAATAAATATTTTCGGATCTTTGTAGGATTTTTATAAATATGCTCTACACAAATAAAAACGTAGATATGGTAACTTACTCGTAATAAAAATCTAATTAATAAAAATTTTTTTGAATTTTGTCTTTTCGTATAATTAATTGTATTTTCTCATTCATGTTAGTATTTTTTAACAAGTGTTTACGAACAATGTACCTATTTTACTATTTTATATGTCACTATATTTATTATACAAACACTTTTGGGTTCAAAGGAATTTAAAAAAGGAATTTCTTATTTTTAACATGCATTCTCATTTTATAAAACGAAACAATGGCAACCACATTAATTGCCAGTGTGAATCGGTAACATGTTGTCTCTAATGTAGATGTTTGTGAAGAGCATGAAATTACTTTTGTCTCGTTTCTTCACTTGTCTAAAGCACTCTGTGGTCTTAACTTTTGTGTACCTCCGAGAGAACACGCACACAACTGGAGCTATGAAACTCTTGCCTCTCTCTCTCACCTGTCTATACTTCTTTTTCTTTGTAATTTGCAATCAAATTTTCAGTTAAATCCTTTAAACGTTATAATCCTAAAATTTTTTATTATTATTTTGGTACAAAATGTCTTGTTATAAATTTGTGTATGACCAAATTTAATGATAATGTTATGGACAGATGGAAGCTAATAAATCTATTTCTATCGGACGTTATCAGCACTTTGCGGCTTCTTTAAAATCTATGCACGCTAACTTTGTTAACACATCATTATGTATATAATGTAATTTCATGCTCATTAGGATTAGTGTTTTGAGAATGCTAGTGTTGGGTTTCCTATTTATCCTCAGTAACCCTGAATTATGGTACCATAGACTAGTATGACGTGCAAGCCCTGTGAATGTTACGGACCCCGTGGATCGTCCACGCACCTGTCCGCCAAACCGTTTTCGCTCTTATTGACTTGGCACTAGAGTATTTTTTTCAGTGTGCCCTCACCCCGACCCAGGAAGATTGTCGGATCCCGTACTGGCCGGCTAGCCTCCTCTGGACATGTTTGCTCTATCGCTTACTATTCCGCTTGATGCTATGCTTTTTATCCCTTTATATGGCAGCGTAAGGTAAGGTTTAATTGGTCATCTCGTAACGTGCTAGAAGTTTGTAGGTTATGCTGATGCTAGACTGACTCCATTGAAAAAAAATTGCGGTAATTGTCATAACGTCTTAAGTAGTGACAATTAAAATTATTACTTATTATATACTAATTGGTTACAAATTTATACAACGCTAAATTACTTTAAATAGAACGCAGGAGTGAGTCAATAGAAAATGATTACTTCCTCCAAGCTTAGCAATTTTTTTCGCATAATTCTACTCGTTTGCAATGCAGTACTTGCACAGTAGTTTCGCCTAGCATGTTTATCTAAAAGAACAACCTAAAATCCGTTAAACTACAATTTAGATACATTTTCGTTCATTCGATTTAAATTTAGAACGAATTATAAAATGTTCTGATCGAAAGAACGAAAACATTAACCAATAATAATATATATATCACTAATTAAATTGATATAGTTCATTTATTCACTCAATAAGTATAGGATCGGTAATTTTAATTTTGGAAGCACAATTTCACCTGCACCATAGCATGTAACATGACCCGATTCACACCGGCTGAGGTGGCCGAACGGTCGCACAGACGATTAAGCTTTACGCCTAAGCACAATTGATATCAAACCCTATTCTAATATTTTGAAGGTTGATTTTCCGTTAGGTCTGCTTTTATACTAACGACGAACGATGCTCGCTCGCTTCTCACATACCATTTTTGACTTGTGTGTTTGTATTCGAGTTGTTTTGCTTGCTTTTTGCGCAGATTACGAGTAGTTCAGATTGTAGGATCGGGTTAAAGCGTGTGATTTTATTGGTGGGTTTTGGCGGGTTTATTGCTTTTTTACGTACCTAAGCAAACTGAGCAAAGGAATTTACTACGCTGCTTTCAAATCAAATTTCGTCATCATTATATAACAACTACATGTTTGACTAAAATAGAAAATATATATAATTAAATCGTATTTTTTTTTCAATTTCATTTATATTGTTATCAGATTCCTACCGCAGAGGGGTTTTTCTTCTGCATTAGCATACTATAAAAATAATAATATTAATTCAGGATTTCATACCCATGTTCCATTTGAAATCGAAATCTGACGTGCTTATTTATGAAAATACACACAAGTAAATGAATAATACTATGAAGTCATACTAGTATTTACGAATTTCTCTAACACTGTAATAATCTGCAAGCAATTGGGTCGTTTTACTATAGAAACCATGTAATCGCGTAATACATTGCCTGGAACATAAATATCCATTACAAAATAATCATAGCATGCATCATTAATAGATATATTAGTATTATCAAACAATAAGCAACACGTATACATACATATAGAACCTTAAAACGTGTTAATATAATCGTATAATAGTCGTGCACAAAAATACAAAGTTAGAATGTCAATTAAAATCGACGGTGTAATATCCGAACGAGACAAAACGAATACATCACGTATGTGAGAGCGAGACAGCTATCGCGCGAGGAGGTTAGCCGGTGTGTCCCGCTCCCGCAGTGGGGCTGCGACGGTCCGTACTCCGGCGTGTACGCAGCGCCTGCGGCGGTGTTCCGCCTCGCCTTCCTGGGCTCGGTCGAGGTCGACGAGGACTCGCGAAGGAGGAAGAAACGCCCCAAAAAGAACATGGTTGAGGAGGCCGTCACTAAGATCAAGGTGGTTTGGCTGACAGTTCAGTGTCCGATTGTAGACCGTAATACAAACAAGATAGAGTTGAATTTTGTGTGTCGTATGTTGCGTTCGAAAATTTCAAATTTAGAAGACTAGAAGTCGTTCAATTCCAACTGTTTTCAAAGTCTTGTTTCTTATAAATATTAGATTTAAAATAGGAATGTCATTGACTTGTAGATTGGAAATTATGATAAGTATATATATCTTATTATCTATATCGGTTTGTACGATTAGCTACAAAAGTTGATGAACACTCATAACCTCTATTACGTCACTATAAAGTTGAAAATTGACGAGTGTTTACCCATTTTTGTTGCTTTGCGCTTATTATAATGAACTAATTGATAATGTATTTCTATTTTGCTACATCGGCTAAAATCAGGCTTTGGTAAGTTCCAAATTGTATTCAAAAATTATTGTAGCTCATATTAATTCCGTTTTACAAATTACGATGTGCTGCTGAACTGTAAAATGCATTCAAATAAAATTCTTATCTTTAGCGAGAAACCGAGTGAAAACTGAAACCCCACTATATTTTCTTTGTTTATTATTATTACATTATTACATTTAATTGAGTTTTTTTTTTCTAACATATTTAATGGCTATTTTAACTTTAATTGATGTTACAAACCAGCAATAACTGTATTGCATACGAAATTTAAAACAACGCTCTTAAAAAACAATATTCCAAACGTATCTACTTTTAAAAATAACACAGTATATCATACATTAAATGAAAAATACATTTCATAACATAAAAAAAAACTTCAGCACTTCATACACAGCACAGCATCACAGCGCAGCAAAGCACGGTTCAAAATTTACTATGAAATATAAGAAAATAAATATACCGAGAGAATTAATCAACCCTACTGGTCAAACTGTTTACCAGCTTATGGCCACGGATTCAAACTCCACACAAGACATACCTATTGTTCAGCATTGTTATTAGTTTGGGCGTTTTTTATGAATTTTATTAGTCTACAAAAAAAAGTATTTCTGTCAGTAGTACCCATGCTCTACGTATATTAGGAGTAGGCGCTGTGTTAGTGGTCCAGGATTATTTATAGTCAAAAATAAGATTGAATGTTGTTGCCCGCAGGCTCCTGAAGGCGAGAATCAGCCGAGTACTGAAGTGGACCTTTTCATCTCCACTGAGAAGATTATGGTACTCAATACAGAATTAAAGGAGATAATGATGGACCACGCTCTAAGAACTATATCTTATATAGCTGATATAGGAGACCTCGTGGTGCTAATGGCTCGAAGGAGATTTGTACCGCACGAAAATGATTCAGATCAGCCGAAACTGAACCGTACGCCTAAGATGATATGTCATGTTTTTGAAAGTGAGGAGGTGAGTGCATTGGAACAATGGGTATTTAAGTAAACATTTGGTTATGGTAAAGAGTTTTAACTAATACCGTAGCATATGGATTTTTTTATACAATTGCAATAACACGTAACTTGACGGCCACCAGATGGTAAATGGTGACCATCGCCTATATACTTGAACAGCATCACGGACATCACGCTATCATGTGACAACCTTGGTATCACTCATGCGTTGCCATGCTAGCCATCCTGCAATTTGACCGGCAAACGGCCTCGGTAGTCTATCGGTTTGGACTCCGCCTTACTTCCGATGGTCGCTAGTTCCATTCCTCGCACGGTATAAATATTTGCAATCATGAGTGTGTATTGCCCATAACGCAAGCTTTGCTTTAGCTTGGGACTAAATTTATTTTAAAAAAATTTACCACCTAGTCTGACCCTACAACTGAAAGAAATATAGCATTGAAAGCAAGCACCTTGGCATCTGAAATAGGTGAGACTGAAGTACCCACGTAGATGATTTTTACAGTCAACCTCTAGTAAATAAAAGCAATATTTTTTTCTTTTACTATCTATTTTCATTCTTCAACCGAAACACAGGTCACAAAGCAAGCTGAAATTGGTTTTCACCTAGGGGAGGTACCAAGGCTAACGACTTTGTACAAATACTACCCAGGTCAAATTGCCTGTATCCTAAACACTGTAGGGCAGTCTAGGTTACTATAGTTATACAGGGTGTCCGGTAATGAATGGATAACCTTGAAACGATACGAGAATTTTATATATTACATAGTAAGTTGCGTGAAATAAATCGAGCGCGCAATATTAACTTTAAACTTAATTTAGAAATACACAAAAATCTTATATTTGCATTATAATTAAACAGAAAAGGAGAGATTAAAATGTTTGTTATGTTACCTACTCTTATACTCTATATCTTTAGACAAATATCTGATAAAGATATGACGAATTTTATATATTATATCACTTTCAGGCTCAATTCATAGCCCAGTCCATAGGCCAAGCGTTTCAAGTTGCGTACATGGAATTCCTAAAAGCGAATGGCATCGAGGACCACAGCTTCGTCAAGGAGATGGATTACCAGGAAGTATTGAACAGTCAGGAGATCTTCGGGGACGAGCTCCAGATGTTCGCCAAGAAGGAGCTGCAGAAAGAAGTGGTGGTTCCGAAAACTAAGGGCGAGATTCTAGGGGTTGTAGTGGTGGAATCGGGCTGGGGATCGATGCTTCCCACCGTGGTGATAGCGAACCTAGCGCCGGCCGGTGCTGCGGCGAGGTGTGGACAACTAAATATAGGTTAGTTTATTATTAACATAGATTGTTTGTATATTTATAAAAAAATGTCGTTATAAATAATAAATGATTTTTGATTTAATTATGAGATTGATTAATATGACAATTCAATAAAATCAAATATAATGTAAAACACTGTTAATGTTCCTAAAATAAATAAAATCGCAGAAAGCGCTTAGTGCTTGACTGTGATTTCGACGTCAAAGAATATAAACTCTAACTTGGACATTAAAAGCTGTTAGTTCGAATCTGGTCGTACACAGAAAAAAATTGATAATTTTTATGTCTCTATTTTAATGAACTCTTTTTTTCGAATTATTCTAATTCTGTTGACCGCAGATGGTCTTTATAGCTACACCGAACGATAGAGGGCGAGTGTAAATAGCACTCTAAACCCACGGAAGGCAGGAGCTGGCCTTCCGTGGGTTCCGTGGGTATACCTGACGGATACGACTTTAGTTTGTGGGCACCGCTAGAGATTCGAACCTCAACTCAGGCCGTCGTAGTTTCGATCCCCGTTTCAATTGGACAGGCGATCTATCAGATGGAGTAACGAATCAAATTATTCTGAAAGACGGCGATATGCCTAACTCCAGGCACCAATATTTGTAACGGCTGACATATTATATAATTTCATGCACAGATATACAATAAATCCTACCAACATAATTAAGCACGATAGAGATAGATACGTAGATGATTTTGTACAAGTGATGTGTCATTGAAAGTAGAATAAAAAAGATGTCATATAAATAAATCACCATCTCAAATGGAAAGAAGACGTCCACTGCTGAACAAAGGCTCCTACGATCGGTCATGTGCTGCTCGCATCCAATGCCTTCCAGCGATCTTGACTAGATCGTCGGTCCAACTTGCTGGAGGCATATAACTAACTAAATAAATATATGCAGGTGATCAAATAATCGCAATAAACGGAGTAAGTCTGGTGGGGCTGCCGCTGTCAACGTGTCAGACGTACATCAAGAACTCGAAGAATCAAACTGTGGTGAAGTTGACGGTGGTGCCGTGCGCGCCCGTCGTCGAAGTCAAGATCAAGAGACCCGATACCAAGTACCAGCTTGGATTCAGCGTACAAAACGGAGTCGTAAGTAATATTTCTAGCAATAATGTCCCCACATTTTCTAGATATAATAATAATTCAAGACAATTCACAGTTTTATCTAGTACCCCAGTTAAGCAGAAATAATTTGATACCCATCTGCTTATCTATTGCATTATACCCATAATACAAGCTCTGCTTAAGATATATAAACCTCACACTGTATATTTTGGGCAAAAGGGGCTGACTCAGCAGATGTTGTGAGCGTAACGTTTACACGTACGCTACACAGCGCCGATTTTTTTTTCAATTATTTAGGTCAACAAACAGTTACACATTATACAAAAAAATGTATTTATTATTTTTGTTAATAAACTGATTACTATAATTAAACAATACTGCCTAAGGCATGTTACAGAGATTATGTTAATTATTAATTAACTACCACTAACAACTCTTAACAAAACTATTTTATATTAACAATACAAAGAAAACTAAAAAAATTATGAACACTGTAGACTACAATATTACAAATAATTATTATGTTAGTTATGTTAGATTTATAACTATTATAAAAAAAATGTATTTATTATTTGTTAATAAAGCTGTAACAAGCCTTGAACTTTATATCCGGAGTCATTGTAAAACATGTGATGGTGTTTGGTGTGCAGATATGCAGCTTGCTGCGCGGGGGCATAGCGGAGCGCGGCGGCGTGCGCGTGGGGCACCGCATCATAGAGATCAACTCGCAGAGCGTGGTGGCCGTGCCGCACGAACGGATCGTCAACCTGCTGGCCACCTCCGTCGGAGAGGTGCGTACACGCTGTTTTTTTAATTTCGATAATTACAACGATCATTGTTTGAAAATCGTCGGATCGCGCGACTGGAGTCCGCGAGCAATGCTGTGGGGCGCGGTTCGAGGGGGTACGAATAGTACTTGATCGGCCGCCCACATTTCACATTGTTGCGGGTGAATAATACGATGTTGCTGGTCGAGACGATGTATATTACTGATGATGATAAACTGACAATGTGTACATAGAAATAATGATCTTATATACTAAATAAAAATAGGAAATGTAAGGTGGGGTGACACAGTTTAGATACAGCAGTGCCTAGTAGACAATATTGAATTTGTCTTACTAGACATTATTAAATGCATTTATTATTTTATGTATCTAGGTGACTGTGTCCCATAGATATTCCCCCCTTGAGAGAAAAAAGATATATATTACACACAAAAAAATTATAAAAGTTAATTATGAACAATATAAATTAATAAAATATTTTTTTTTTTTACAAATTAAATCTCACTGTAGGATAAGATGCGTCCATAACGTGTCACTTTCAAAGGTCGGCTGTCAGCTGTTGACGAGCGGTGTCCTGTTTCTGCCTCGCCAGCCATTGCTTCGTTGTTTATTATGAATGCTGGCTTGAGTCTATCTATTGACACATTTGTTTCTTTTTCGTCACTTGATTTGAATACTTTTCCTTTGCGTTTGACAACCAAAAATGGTCCTTCGTATGGTGGTGTCAACGTTATTTCACATCTCAGGAAGACGTGTGAGCAATCCATTAAACGAGGATGTACAAAAATGTTTTTATTTGTACTTTCTCTCTGTGGGATGGCTGCAACTCACATCATAGGGGATTTCTCCTAAAAATAAAAATGAAATTGCCGATTTGTAGTGAAAAATTGAAACTTTTTAAGATGTGACATATTTATTTAGTATGCCATCCGAATGGTTTCCAGGGGAAACCACGTGGAGTGACCTCCATGCGGTTACTTTTAGTAATCAGATTATTTATTACTAGCTATAGGGTCATCAATCCCAATAAGATTACTAACAATTCCTTTCCTTCTAAAGTATAGTAGTTTCTCTTGTACATTCGTTAAAAAAAAATCCTTTTCAGATTCTAATGAAGACGATGCCGACGTCCATGTTCCGGTTATTGACGGGACAAGAGAACCCGGTGTTTATCTAAGCGCGCGCCGCCGCCGCGACATCAAGTGCCTGCTTATATTATGCCGACGCTCGCCGCCCCCACCCCGCAACCTCCCCCGCCGAGCGAACACTCACGTTCAACCCTCGTTCATCCTCACTGTAGAAAGTACATTTTACCACGACTATACTGTGAAGATGTATGCAAATATTCCTTGGCCTTTTATAGCTCTTAAAAAACAATAATTAAAGTAAAAGAAATCAGTCTGAAGAACAAAACATTGTCACATTTCGAATTTCGAACTGCCATTTGTATATGTATACTTTTGTATCTTAATAAGTCAAAATGTGATACAGAGTTACAATTTTAATCTGTTTCTATTGCTTTAGTTATTATTCTGAGTAACTTTTACACAAGGCTAAAGAATATTGCATATACAGTTTCTTATTTATTTGTTATTTTGATATTAAAACTCATTAATATGAGTTAGGGTTCAGTTATACAAGACAGTAGGTGTATCATAAAGCGGATTATATTTCTAATCTGATATCGCCGGATATTTCGTGTTTCACATCACATATAAAAATATGTCGGTAATTATTATATTATACATATAATATTATTTTGTAGCCTTAAGAAATGTCTGTGGTATTTTTATATCACAATCTTTCGTTTAATTCTCATTAACAGTATGTTCTATGAGTTATAGTAATAAGAAGTGAGGATGGCACCCATATAGCTTATCTCAGAAATACTCAAAAAATTACATAAATAATGAGACACCAGATATCGAAACGCTTACAATGCTTACGTGGCTAAATAAGGTAGAACATAAGTTGTATTATCTCTATATATACTGATTTGTATTTGCTACATTGATGTTTGTGGTAGTTGTCATGATTCGATATTATTAAAAAATAAAATCTACATTTAGTTTGTCTATGGTAGCAAGTACAAAACAGATACGAAATCTTTTAATGACATGACGACATGCATATTCCATTAATAATGTACGTATTAATATCGAAATACCACTCATATCTGCTTAGATAGTATCATATACATTAAATATCCAGTATTCGTTCAAATAAAATTGTTTCGAAGTACATTTATTTTTATAAGTTGCCATTTTTAATTTTTTCCCTCCATTTTCGAGTGGAAGTTTTCTTTTTAATTTCGTTTAGAAATTTATTTCTGGCCATACACGATTTTTATTCTGTATTTCTATTTATAACGATATTTTCATTGCCATATGAATGTTAATGACAATACTTAAAGCATTTTTGGTGTGTATCGATTATTAAGATAATTGAAGGTAGTATTAAGAAATATATTACAAACTGCCATTAACGCAATATTTGGCCGGAAATTATTTCATAGATAAGATCTGATAGTCATATTTTTTTTATATTTAAACGTGTTTTAAGCTACTAAATCCTATGTAGCTATTTCTTTTTTAGTCATATGTTTTCCATAAGTCCATTCCATGTATTTATATTTCGTAATTGTATATTCAGATCAAATTTATTTATTCTTGTTTTGTATTATATACCTCTTTCTTTAAATATATCGCAATAATTTACTTATATTTCCATTAACCGTGCACCATAGTTCAAACCAATTCATTTAAGCTTGAGGACTCTTGAATTAACTCTGCAACTCAGCACTATTCGAATTCGAATATCCATCGTTGCAAATAAATTACCTAATATATAAGTATTATTCTAAAAATGTACCATTATAATATTATGAGTAAGTTTAATAGTGCTGAGTTGTAGAGTAATCAGGTACTCCTAATTTAAAATGTATAGCTTAGATAGAAACAAGTGGATCCTTTCGGTTTGACTAAGAGTAAGTCCACAGTCACTAAATGTGATTAATGAAATGGCTGACTTATTGTGGAGATGAGCTAATTGACGATAATGTGGGCATAGACATTGGAATTGTGGGTATAGACATATTGGACATGTATATATTTACATTTTGCGACTGTGAACACGCTCTTAGCTTATCAATCAATATTCAACCCGATGGATCTACAGTGATCAAATAAAAAATGAATTGACTAGTGGATATAGTACATATTAAATAAAATATAATTTCAAGTAGCATTTCAAAAGATATATCATATTTTGTAAATTTTATAGTGTCGCTATAGCATTACTATGTAACCTATACTGATGTACGTTTTGTCCTGTGTTCTTAGCTAGGCTTAGCGCTCTGAGGACGAGTTATATATTTATTTATGTATAAAGTTGATAATTTGTAACACGTTAGAATACTCACTCGAATATACCCGCTTAAACTACAAATATTACAATTACAATTAAATCTAAATTAAACCGTCTGTGTTTTATATAATTTGATTTGATTATGCCATCGTGGTCGATGTCCGTTGTTATTTTACCGTAAATACTTATACCTAATTATTTGAGCACACGAGGAAAACTGTAATTAAAAAAATATTAGTCATTGGCAACCGCAGTATCGCGTGATCCCTATTTATGAAACATAGTATTATTAATAAAAAAAATGTGTATTAATTTGTTTCCTATATAGCAACCTATTTCGGAATAAAAGGCGACATAAACTCAAAATTTTATAGTACATGCATTTCCTTGGCCACTAGAATTAAATTAAAACTGTCCGAAACACCAAGAGTTGGACATCGACCCATACGTTCTCGTTGAACTAAATATATATAGATATACAGTCTGATGTAATTTTTATATTGCTAGCTGTTGTGAATAAGATTTTATTTATATTGTGAGACACAGATAATAAATAGCCTTTTATTATGAATGCTGGTATATGGTAGGTACACTGTAACATGTGAAATAACTATTGTTGTTCTCATTTCTAAGAGTATTATTCTAGTCTGCATTAAAGTTAAGAATAAACTGAAACAAATTGAGTCATTTCGTTTTATTTGTTTAATTTAAGGACGCTCACACATTGTTGTCTGTGATTTAAAAATGTTAAATCAAATACAAAAGGATTTTAAACAAAAATTCTAGCTAGTTTTATAGCGTGTTTTGGGTGTAATGTGTTTAGCGTTTTGTCATTTATTGAACCATTCAGGAGAACAAGGCGCTAAGCTAAAATTACGACCTACTTTATGGAGTTTAAAATATGTCGCAGTACATTGTATTTTAGCACCAACAAAGACTTCTTGGAAGAAGAAATATTGTCCCGGTGACCACCAGACAAAATAAAAGGTTATGGGCCCCTAGTATATGCTTGAAAAACAGTTATATATCATGTTTAAGAGCGTAATCGCTCTGGCTGTCTGGAAGTATTTAGTTCTCTATCAAATAAGTAAAAAATTAAATATACGGTAGATGCCTAATATTATCTTATGTAGTTTGATTATTTCTAGTCTACAACGTAAATCTACAGTAAACACAAAGAAAATGTCCTTTGATAAACTTTGATAAAATTTCCTTCACCTGCGCAAGCCATACGCTACTGGAAAGTCCTCGACGATCAGTGCCGTCGCTTGTAGAGATGTACCTACTTTCCACTAAAGTATCTGCGACTTAAGTTGTCTTTCTGCAGCTAAGCAGCTTGCTTTGTAACCTGCACTTCAGATTGAAAGGCGAAATATGGCAATTATATTGGGTGCTATTCTCAAATCACGTCACACCAATTTCAGTTATTGTTACCTCCCCCAATATCACAGATGGTCACATTTTAATGGATAATAATGGGATGGTGCACTGCGCTGACTGACAGCTACTGGTGACTGGGCACCAATAGACGGCATAAAGTTAGGTCAATTGGTCCATCGTAGCAAACTCACGAGGAATTTATCACGATGGTTTCCAAGAGGTATCGCGTGGAGGTCAACATAACATGGTACTTTGCTAGCAGTAGGGTCATCAATTCACATTACTAACGATCCCCTCCCCCCCATTAAATACGAAATTTTACGATTGAGAATGTAGGGGGGGCCCTACATTCTCAATCGTAAAATTTTGTATTTTTAATACTCAAAGTGTCATTATCAAATTTAAGACCCCACACAGTGATGGAAGGGATGCTGTATTTGATGATTGTTTTCCACGAACTTTCTCACTCTTTCAACTCTTTGTTATATAACAATGTTACACTTATTTGACTCCCCTACACATCTAACTTATTCATGGATAACAGGGATCGCAGACCTTATATAGAAATGGCGACGGTCTATTTTGTGGATAATGCTGATGGTAGATGCTACCGCCAGTGCTAATGTTATCTGGTGGAGAAACTATGCATTCACGAGTAATTAACTCAACCCGAAGGTTTCCAAGAACCATGTGATGGTGGAAGAGGTCCGTTATTAGAAATGGTACATATTACCCAATGCTGACAATTTCCTACCCTGGAACACCCTGGCCAAGTTTTCTATACTCTTTACATACGAAGTTCGTACCTTGTGATCAAACTCTGGATGTTCCCTGAAAGATGCTGAGGATATTAAAGCACCCATACACAAGAGAAGCAACACGAAATAAAAGAATGAAATTACGGGATAAAAAGAATGACATGATAACGTGATGTCCGTAGACATCTTAGTCTTCTGGAATGGTAACGCGTGAGTGATATCACGGGTGTCAAATGATAACGTAGTGCTATTCATGTATATAGTCAGGTGGGTCGCTTGTTTGACGTTGCAATTACAAATAAAATATCTCTAAATAAAATCTTCTGTTTTTACTTAGAGAAATCCTTCGAGGAAATTGTAAATGAATATCAACCTGTCTGGCCATCGTGGCAGTAGTCTTAGCTGTAGGTGATAAGAAATTGTTGATAACAATCTTCAGATAATATGTTCATTAATTAACTTATCATTTAAACCATCTAGTACTGTGACATGAGTACATCAGTACTGTAATTTCAATTATAATAGTTCACTGGTGTTAATTAAAATAAATGAATACGTGAAGCAAAAACTTTGCACCCCTTTTTACGAAAATCGCGCGGACGAAGCAGTTTATATATAGAAGAAGCAGTTTATATATTGCAGAATACTTTTTTTTTAATTATGCATAAAAAACACATTAAATCAATAATAACAAAACATTACATAGAGTACTATATATTTGAGACACATGTGCATAGAAGTGTAGTCTATTGACAATAGAACCTTAATAATGTTCAAACTTATAATTAAAATTAATTATGGACGAATTTCGATCACTAGGCGGCTAATAGTTCAAATAAATCATTCTGTTGGAAGACTTTGGTGATCTAGCAGTTTAGCACACCGCCGTAACTCCGATGGTCGCCGTTTCGATTCCTCGCACGGTAGAAGCATTTGCATTCATGAGTATGATTATTGGTGTGGTGATTTCTAAGTATATTATGTATGCATTTACAAAAAAAATGTATTTACGTATTACTATCAGGTGTCTAGTACCCATAACACAAGCTCTGATTAGCTTGGGACTAGATGGTGCTGTGTAAATTATGTTATCATATGTAACATGCGCTGCTACTACAAAACAAGGTATTACGTTCTTTGTATACATTTGTATTATTACTCATAAGATGCCTAAATTACTGTAATTTAAACAAAGATACAGAATGTGAAGTAAAGGCCAGTCCAAGGTTTGTGGCATTGATAATGTAATGCTGCAGTACTTAAGTATTTGGGTAATTACCAGGGCTACTTGTTATGCCACTGAAAATTGTTATCTAAACTAATATCAATAAAGTAGAAAATGATTTTTTGCTTGTCCATACTAATACTACAGAGGGAATGGGATTGTTAATAATGTGGACTATTGAATGCAATGCTGATTTGGTTCATCCTGAAAACCGAACATAAGTTCCTAATGAATATATCAAAATGGGTTAACTGACCTGAACTCATACTCATCATCATGGTGCCTGCATAAACCGTGACTCCTTCCATAATCATAAATAAAAAAATACTGCAAAGAGCATGATCTACTAATTTGTGAGTTTTGTATAATAATAAAACCTAATGTTGCTCTGGAATCAACGACCTTCCAAATAGCGAAGCAAGTTCTCAAGATGGAAACAAAAGTCACTGCACCATTTTGTGACATTGTTTCACTGTTTGGGAGCTGTTATTCTAGAGTATCTGAATATATATATATAGATAGATAGCATTTAGGCAAAGCCAGGGCAGTCAAATAGCAAGGATAAACTTTAAAATAATATAAAAATTCTTCTAACACAGTTACAATATCAACAATGTTGATGTATCAACATTTTGAAGGAGTAATACCATGTCAGGTTGGCCTCCATGCGGTTCCTTCCAGAAACAATCATGATAAATTCTATGGGCTGACCTGATACTGGTGCCCTAACAGCATAAACTGTTTCCAAAGATGGGTAAAATATTCCATTAAAAAAAAAATTACAAAGTTTATGGTTGCTGTCATATGATAAACTAAAAAAACAATACTAATGTCTGCTGCTGAAAAAAAACAATGCTAATAAATGCTGGCCACTACAGCTGTTCAAATCTATAGACAATGGCTGATAATTTTTAATAGAGCAATTTAACTTGTTTGCACTTTCAAGTAGAAAAATTTGAGGAGTTTTTAAAAACTAGTCATGACAGGATTTTACAACATCCATTATCAGGAGTTATGGTATATTTATAGGCTAAGTACTGAACTAACAACAACCTAGTAAAGTCTACTGAAATACTAAATCTGATGTCATTATCCACATATTATGTTAGTATGAATATAAACATCAAGCTCATTTATGTATTCTGTCGATGAATAATTTTGTATGCATCATAGCTGAGCCATATAAATGTCTTCATATCTGTTGAAATATACTTTTAAATGTTTATTGAAAGCCTCTGTGGTGTAGTGCTTTAGCACACCACTTTAATTCCGATGGTCACAGGTACAATTCCATGTGTGGTACAAACAATCATGTGTCTAAATGTTTTCTATGTATATTATATACATATTAAAATAAAACAAAAAACATGGAAATATGTCAGTTGTCCAGTACCCATAATATAAGCTTTTCTTAGGAATAGATGGTGCTGTGTGAATTGTCCAGGGATATTATTATTGTTAAGTTTATCAAATATCAGTAAGTATACTACACAGAAGAAAATTGGTGAACAAATTAGATATCCTTGAGTTCTGAATTGTTTATTTGATCTAAATGAGATCATGATATAGTGATAATAAGGTAGTTTTGTTGGAGAGGCATTCATTAAAAGTATGTTCTAAATATTACAAGGGAAAAATATCATTATTTGTTCCCATTTAAATAAAAAATTGGTTAGCTTTTGTATTTTATATATTTTTGCACAAAGCCAAATTAAATTTACATAAATACAATTTAAGGATAACTTTTATACAAGAAGTAAATAGTAGACAAAAGATTCTTATTGAAATCATGTTGATGTAGCTTTTATCAATGAAAAATAATATTCCTAAATGCATTGGAAATCTATTAAAATAAAAATAATAACATCAGTATCTTGAGAGATCGGTACCTGATTGACAAGCGTTGCTGTGTCTTTCACTTCAAGGTGTCACTTGAAACCATACAAACAACCAACTTTGTGACAGTACACACTATTCTTTGTATAAAATTAACCAAATTTGTAACCATGAAATATATACATTCGTCTCCAGATATTTATTATATTTGCTAGTTTAATGATAGTAAAAAAATATGCATACCTAATATTATATAACGAAGCTACACGTGAATGGATAAACAACTATTGTGGGACCGTCCGACCGTCCACTCTGGACGGTGGACAAGGCTACGTAGAAATGCAAGGATTAACCTGAGCGGGTAGTGGCGGCCGCGGCGCTGGGACCCGCCGGGGCCCACCGTCAATATAAATTTATCCACAATTGTCTCTTCACACGTTATTCGTTCTAGATTGTGTAACATAACTTGCACTCTTAAAACCATGATAATATATCCATTTGTTTCGTGTCGCACCTCGGGACGCGCGCGTGGGAGAGGCACTGATGGGTGTGTGCATGGCCGCACGGGTGCTCAGTTGTCCATAGCGTATCTCCGCGTCCACTCCTTTGCATTTCGAATCGCCTCGATCTCGTTCACCTTCCACAGCTCGGCTACGTCGTTCGCCAGGGGATCGTCTGGGTTAGGGGCTGAGAGTAACGCTTGAATCGACAACAGCACAGTGCGTATCTGTAGCGCCGGGCTCCACTTGTCCTTTAGTATGTCCAAACATATGCGTCCCAGCCGATCTATGTTCGGATGGTATATTTTCGTTATAAATCTAACCTTAGGCGCTGACATAGGATAATCCTCTGGCAAAAATAATTCTAATTTAAATAGACCTCCTTCGAACGGCGAGTCCTCTGGACCGGTAACAATTACGTGAAAATAGCGTGCATTGGTTTCGCTGGGGACCGCGCTGATACCCGGCACTGGTTCCTGCATCAGTCGCTGTGTCTCTTTGATTATTCTACGTGGTAGGGCTGCCATTTTAAATATGCGGTCTAGCGTAATTTCTCAAATAAGAGCTAGTAACCATATAATAGTATAAAATATCAAATAGTCTTTTCACTGCACGCGTTATGGTAATTATATAGGCACGTTTTCCGGATTAGAAAAGTATTTTAGCCATGATAATGCTAAAAAAGAGACTACAAAAGCGAACGTACTTATTTTTTTTCCACAGATAATATAGACTTGCTGTCAAAGACAACACGTGCAATATAGAATACAATGCGTTCTCGTTCAATATTATTATTTTAAATAAAATAAATTTAAGAATAATAATCGTAATAAATATTCATTAAAAATGCAAATACGAAATATTTTACGTTAACTTATATCATGTAAAAATGTTTATTAATTAAAAGTATTTTTTCATGTTATAGCTACTAGACACTAGATGGCGTTAAGATCATTAATAAATTACGTGTAAAAAATATGATTGTTGATTTGTCAGTATGCCTGCTATTACGCATATTATCTCTTAATGGTGGCAGTCAAATTGGCAAAAATATAGCCTACATTGTCTGCGCAACTGTAATTCCATGATTTTTGTAAGAATTCTTAAAAAAGGTTGCCAATAATAATTCCGGATTCACTAGTTACGACGCGCTATGAACTTCTCTACTGGTGCCACTTTTCACGCATTGCCATTCCTGATGACTAAGATCTATTAGTGGATAAGAGACATGAGAATGTCTCTTATCAACTAATATACTTACCGGTAATTTTGTTATGTAAGTGTAATGGCAAAAGACCTGATGGCACACGTGATGTTGAGTGGCCACCGTTGCATATACATATATGAGCAGCATCATAATCATCTCGTTATCATAAGACGCCCGTGATATCAATCAAGCGTTATCGTTCTAGAGGGCTAATTTGTTATGCCTATAATTTTCCTGCCTCATTTTGTTCTTCAACCGAAACTCAGATTAAAAATGGGACAGACGTACCACCGTCGGAGAAGACCGTTTACAAAGTAAGTAAGTATTTCGGTAGAATATAATGTGCAATATCATGCTCTTTTTTAGTAATTTGTCACAACCAATGCTTGGATATTGTGCATTCAACCGTAAAGATATCTTATAAATTGTGAAAGTGCTTCTTCGATGCCGAAAGCGTTATTTATTTTGGTCAATTACTATGAGAGCTCCGACAGCCGTGATCGTCTAGTGGTTAGGACCCTACGTTGTGGCCGTAGTAACCCAGGTTCGAATCCTGGTCACGGCAGTGCAAACTGTCGCGGCGGAGCTATACTTTTGGTTTGATATTTAATGTAGAATACTCCTGGTGCAGTACGGCTGTTCGTGAGGAGTAACCCAATATTAGGTTGAAATTTAGGCTTCTATGGCCAATTTTAGGCTTTTAGGAAATTCCATAATGTTTTCCACTATGGCTGACTTCTGGCTTCCAGCTTCCTATTTTTGCATCTGGATGCAAAAATCCCTGGGGATTTTCAATGCTGAATTTTACCATATTTTTTTATTCTCTCCATTAGAAAATGAAGGTCACTACCCTGCACAGGCTGGTTGCTGACATTTTTTCAGGTGGTATGTGATTTTGAAAGGGCTTTTGTGGGAGTTCATGGGAAGTGGAATTACAAATTCGAAAGGTTTTCAAAAGCGTATCCGTGTGATTCATATGAGAAACCCACTAATAATAAAATATAGAAACGCTTAAGACTCAGTACACTTGATCTAATATCAAAGACATCTCTAACACTTCCTATGCCTTTCGCGGCAATTCTTCTGCGTTGTCATCCTGAAGGTCGTATTATTTTCTTTTCCACAAACATGTTGTTTTACAAAAGTTTGCTATTAACATTTCTGTAGGAGCCATGAGTTAGCTTTACAAATACATTGTATAAAAGTATTCCACAAATGAAATATTTTTCTCGTGGTTCACATAAAAAATATGCTTACTATATCTAAAGAAATCTAAAGATAATACAAAGAAATGTTATAGTGCCTATCGCATAATAAAATATGACAGCACAGCAGCGGCGAGGGAAATACATGACAGGTATTATAACGAACAAAATTTTATTAAATCTCCTTTCACGTCACTTTTAACGTAAAAGAAAATCGTCTTGTCCATAGACACACCGTGCATAATAAATCTAAACGTTAGAATTTTTAAGGGTCTATTACTGGCGGGATGCAATCGAGTAGGAGGTAATAAAAAAGTTAATTTAAATACCTATTCGATTGTCAGTTGTCTTGTAAATTTATTTGTATGCTTTCCATAATTTTACAATTACAATTACAATTACAATAATTACATAACTTCTTATTACAATATAGGCACAATGGACCCGGTTCTGTATGTTACAATTAAAGAGTGTCCTTAAGAGACTTTATTTATTTTGTATAATATTTGTTTTCATTGTCATTTGTATATATATAAAGATTTATGATAGAAACCCATCTTAGCAAGTTTTAATCAAGACACTCTAGCACTCTATAGCAATCTAGTTTAATATTGGTAAGTGCACAACCAATTATCCATATTATTAATGTATTGTCTATTACGATCTTAGTGGTCTTGTTGTTTAGCATACCGTCTAACTTCCGATGGTCGCAGGTTCGATTCCTCACAAATGGTGCAAACATTTGTAGTCATGACTTTGAATGTATTAGTCTGGGTGTTTTCTATATATAACATATTATGTGTGTATTTACAAAAATATATAATCAAGTATAATCCCATACAACGAATTTTTGGTTGGAACGAATATGGCGTCATTGGTATCACTTGAATTCTTCTTGGTTGCGCAAAGGTTAAAAAACAAAACTAAGTTTTCAAAAACGCATAATTTATTTTAAAAAAATTCAATATACATATTAAAATGAAATAATGGGCATAGGAAAGCAATTTCCATAATTTTACTAAGTTTGTTATTTACCTGCATTTGACTGCAATTAAGCATTGCTTATAGTATGTAATATTATCTTATCTGTGGTATATCTTTCAGTTTTCTAGTACCCTAATATTTTTCAGTTGTCAGAACTGAGACATAAGGGCAAGTACTCGCAGAATAGATTAACTTAGCATTATAAAATCGACCCTTAATATTGTAATGCACGGTGAATGTTTCCAAGCTGTAAGACTTTAATTCTTTGCCTTTGAAGCTTTTTAAGGGCAGGTTGCGTCCTTTTCTGTTAGAACAGTCTTTTTATAGTGTAAGTAGATGAATTTGTTAGCAACGAAAATTTTATAATTTCAAACAATGTAAATTGTTTCTTTTTAATAATAATAATCTATAACACAAACTCTGCTTGGCTTGGAATAAGGCGCTGTGTGAATTGAGTTTTTATTGTTATGTAATCTATACGTCTATAGATATAAATAAAATTGGAGTGTCTGTTTATAATATTGAAATAACCGTTTTTTACTACATGCATATGAATATAAATATGGTACATACACCAAAATAACATTTTTTATATTTTTTGTCTGTTTGTTTGTTCCGGCTAATCTCTGAAATGGCTGGACCGATTTTGATGGGACTTTTTTGGCAGGTAGCTGATGTAATAAGGAGTAACTTCGGCTACTTTTATTTTAGAAAAAATCTTTCATTTAAGAAATTTAAAGTTAAATTCCACACAGACGAAGTCGCGGGTACAGCTTGTATAAAATTATTGTCCTGACTTATTTATTTATTTTTACACTCGGATATGAAATGTAGATAGAAAGTCGGGTGCACGAACAACCACGTGCTCGAAGTCCATAAAAGACAGTCTACCATCACCGTCCACGTCGGCCTCATCCAGCACGCTGGCCACGATATCATCTCGCTCCTGAGGATGTAACTCGCCCTTGGTGAGTAACCGAGTCGCTTCTAGAAGATCCTCTCGTCCTATGTACATGTCGTCGTCGAGGTCATAAATGCGGAAAGCGTACCTGAAATTGTAATAATATTAATAACTGTTTTTAGTTTCTCGTCAGTTCTTCTAAGCTCGAATGCATTCCGAACTGACGGTAGATTTTGACATATCATAAGAGACTGTAATAGACCTACATGAATAAAGATATTTTGATTTGATTTTGAAATTAACTAATTAATTTAACATTCAGTAATACTATGGACCAGTGTTTTCCAAAGTGGGGCCCACACCCCACATGGAGGCAATTTGACTGTTAAGATTCCCATCGTCGAAAATGGAATTTTTATTAAAATTATATGGAATGTGAATTTCAATTATTCATTATGTTTAGAAAATGTACATACTGTTTCATTAATAATTTCCTAGGAATTTCTTCCGAAATACTATTGTTAATTTTTTTAAACGAACAATAAAATTTTTAATATCATAAATTACGTATGTTATATATGGGAGAAGGGACATAAGAATTTTAGAAAGGCTAAAGTAAATAATATTAAAAATAAACAAAAACAATCTATTCTCAATTTAACCACAGATAATAAACAAAAGAATATATATGTGTGTGAAATACATGGTAGTGTATGTAATGTTTTTTTTATTGATTTAATATATTTTTAGGCATAACTTTACAAAGATATTAGTATCCAGAACACTTAAGTTGAGCTTGTATTATATGTATATAGATACACCTAATTACATTTGTTTTGTATATGCATAATATACATAGAAAATATTATACAAACGATCATACTCATAAACATAATGATGCGGTATGCTAAAGCGCCGGCCATCCAAATCACGTGATATTTTTTTGCATTTTTAACCCTTACCCTTGGTGATACTACTGAGTTAAAGACAACACCCCCTCCCCTAAAATCGTCATAAATTCGTCATACGTTGTAGTATTACATCTAAAAATTTTTAGATTAATATCTTTAAATTGTGAATTTAAATTTTTCATTATGTTTAGAAAATTTACATACTGTTTCATTAATAATTTCTTAAGAATTTAAATTAATAAAGTATAACCTAATTATTATCTAGAAAAGTCAAAGTCAATTTACACAGCGCTGTTCGGATAGATATTAGATATAATGAAAAAATGCACATGGTATCTTACCACACCCCTTTCCCCCCTTGTGATATTTCGTGATTTTTGTCGGTCCATTCTTCTTCTCAACCTTCATGTGATTAATGGCTAAATCGATAGAACTGCGTGGCAGTCATGTGATAATAATTGTCTTACCAAGCCTTGATGTCCCGTGGTGCCGCTTCACTGAACACTGACATCATATCCAAAAAATCTTCAAAAGTCAAGTTACCGGAGCCATCGTGAGAGAATACTTGACATATACGACGCTTGAATGGATTTTCCTGGTGATTAATTGTACTTAATTGTACTTATAGTAATACTAGGTGTGCCCGCGGCTTCATCCGCGTGAAATTAATAGCCTCTGTGTATTAGCTATATTATTGTAAAGTTTCATTAAAATCCAGTCAGTAGTTTTTACGTGAAAGAGTAATAAACATCCATCTCTATTATTTTTAAACCAAATATAGCGTAATGACTACATTAAGTTATATTTGGTTAAAAAAAAATGACTGCAACATTTGCGCAAAAGTCGTCGCAATATTTTGGGGAAAATACATTTTTTTTATACTATGATGGTGGCAATCAAGCATACGGCCCATCTGATGGTAAATGGTTAGTTATTAGTTACATTTAGTTGCCATTGAAACGAAAGAAGACGAAGACTACAATATTTAAGTATTTAGTGACAATTGTCAGTCATTTTTTATTATTCTTATTAACTAAGTACTTACTATAAATTAAATAGAGGCAATAGAGAATAAAAAAAAGAGCGAACGAATATATATTTCGATGTGGTAGGGCTTGTATGTGTATGTTGACTATTAAAATCTGTCAATAATCTATCTATATATGATAAATATATCTATACTATATGTACTCTACTTAATAAAATCGTTTAATATAATTTTTTAATCTACTTGAAAAAAATGACAATTTTATTCTAGTTAAAGTGGTTCTGCATGATTGGAATACTATTTCAGAAATGAATATTGAACATGTGAAAATCAATATTTGAAGCCGAAATTTCCGTCATGAATGGATAAATTAATTACTGTTTACTCATGAAAAGTCAGTAGTCAGTAGTAGCACAGATAAGATATTGCATATAGTAGTAATAGTAGAAAGTTCAACACATATGTATATATACCATTTGAAAAAAAACTGTAGTGAATGCTGTTCTATTTTTGAAATTAAATCTAAAATCCATAGTATTTAAAACCAATTAATGTTAGTGAATATTGTTCTATTTTTGAATTGAATATTTAAACTGAACATTTAAAAAACGATTATAAATAATCGATCGAAATAGAAAAGATCAAAAATAGAACAGCGTCCATACTTTCTATTTTTGAAATAATTGTTCAACACACATGTTCGAAATCGAATTTAAAAATATAAGATTACATTCCTATATCATTTTAAGGTTCATATTTTTTATTTTATGAACAAGGGAAAAATAACAAGTAAAAAATAAAAAAAATAACACATAAGTATATTTTGGTGCTTACTTTTAGTTCAGGTAGTTTTTCTATTTCTTCTACGGGTACAGCTATGGTGTTCGCCTGGTTTTCTGTCATTCGTTTTGGTACCAATTCCGGGTTGACATCTCGGAAACGTTTAAATACCCTGCGAATGAAAACAACTGAATTCAACATAAGACTATTGACATAAAGTAGAATTAAAAAGTTACAATTTCCGTTTATGACAGTTTATGTTTTAGTAATAAATTCTTAATTTATTTCCTGATTATGCTATATTGTCTACAGCCTACATTATATTGTTAATTTATTACTTGCTGCGCCTCACGGTTTCATCTGTCGGATGCTGGTTGGACAATGATGGATCTAGAACCACTGCAGACAGTAGTTATAGGTACATAAAGTCAATTCAAATAAACTTAGTAAGTTAGTAGTCATTTAATAATAATAATGATTTATTTATATAAATTTTACAGTATAAAATCTAGTCGCTTCCGTTGTCTGTTTGCTTAGATCTTTTAAACTGCGTAACCGATTTTAATGCAGTTTTTACCGATTGATAGAGTGATTCAAAAGGAAGGTTTATATGTATAATACATGTACATCCGTGCGAAGCCAGGCCGGGTAGCATGTACGGTATAAATTACAAGATTTAAAGTAAAAAAAGCAAAATATAAACATCAAATTAATACTAGATAACTAAATAGTAGAAAGTTGTGTAACTTAATGCGTTAACCTAAACTAGATATTACACCAAAGCTATAGGAACTACTCTCTTTTTTATTATTATAAAACAGCTTTAAACTTCCACATAAAATATATTTTTCTAACAGGTACTTATTATATTGGTTTATTTTTTTTCTTATTATGTGCCGCCCTGGGGTAAAAGCCCCATCCATCTTCTGCCAACTCTCTCTATACATGGCAGTTTGCGTCCAATCTTTTCCTGCATTGTTTTTTATGTCATCAACCCATTTTTTTTGCCGTCCTACTCCTCTTATAGCAATCTAAATAAATCGCTGAATAGAAATAAAACGTAGGTGTTGAATGAAATAAAATCGATGGGAGTAATTGAGGCTATCATGAAGCCTCGGAAAGCAGTTAATTCTATAAGTGCGTCACAATAAATCCGCTTACCCCCTTTACTACCCCTGACCAAGTTCGGTTTCTACGGATATCTACAATGTTTTAGTTTATATGTTTAATGATCAAAATTGTTGCTTAATTGTCTGTTGTAGGTGTAAGATACGACTATATACCATTAAGGTAGGTAGAGACAACAACATTAAAATTGAGTGATAATTTTTAACTGTGTAGTACATATACTACATCTTTATGGTCTCCGCGCGTTCTAGTTTAGGGGCAATATTAGGGGTAAATCAAATTGTAATATATCTAGTAAATAATTAATATAAATTTATAAATAAATAAATCTACTAATCTTAGTAATATTATAAACGCGACACTTTCTGACTATGGATGGATGAATGTTTGTTATTCTTTCGCATAAAAGCTATTGAACGGATTCCGATGAAAGTAGTACAGTAATATAAACCTATACATCAGATTAGCACATATCAGAATAACAATAAAAAGTTATTATGTAAATTAAGCGAAATATAATGATAAATGTCAAGCAAGTGTGATGTAGACGAAATTAGGGGGTTAGGTAGTGAAGTATAAATAAATATATCTTTTTCTATATTAATTTTCACAGAGAACATTCATGTAAGTAATTACAAACACCACACGACTTACCTGAGAATTTCTTTCCTTGTAAAAAATGTACAGTCCTATTAATTGTAAAAGTATAAGTTATAAACACTGTTTCGGTATACGATAACGGGGTATATATAAGTTTTTTTATATAACTATGGTGATAATCAAGCATACGGCCTATCTGATGGTAAATGGTAACCGTAGCCTATGCACGTCTGAAATAACAGGGGTGTTACATGCGCGTTGTCGACCCTTAAGGAACCTTAATATACCCTTCTTGAAAAACCCCATATTGTAGTTATTACAGAAAACCTCGGTAGGTAGTTCATTCCACAATCTAAGTAGATGATGATGAAATAAGGATGTAGTTAGTTTTGTGACTGTTTTAACAATTTGTTTAAAAGAACAACAGACAAAGTAATAATAAAATTATTTAAAAGAGCAACACGCAAGTTTCTTGCTCGTTCTTCTTGTGATGAGACAGCTTTCCGAATGAGCGGTAGATTTAAAAAAAATGTAATGACTATTCAAAAGTGCTTCAATGTAAGTTTATTTGAATAAATGATTTTCTATTCTATTCTATACAAATTTCTTGCTCATTCTTCTTGTGTGAAACTTGCCTATTGGTGGGTGAAACTGTTAAATAATTGTTGTAACTTTAATTTTTTAAGTTGAAATTGTTGAATAGAAATTACCAACAAGCACTAATTAATTAGAGTTAAAATATTAAACATTATAAAAGAGCCTATCTATAAAGTCTATAAGTCATTTAAGGGTCGGCAACGCGCACTTACAACCCCTGTTGTTTCAGGCGTCCTACGGTAACTGTTTACCATTAGACGGGCCGTATGTTTGTTTGCCACCATAATAATATAAAAAAAAAGTCATTCGAAATAGGAATAATCTTTATTCAAATAAACTCATTACTAGCGCTTTTGAATAGTCATATTTTGATTGCAGATTCATCACAAGAAGAATGAGCAAGAAACTTGTGTGTTGCTCTTTTGTATAGATGTTATTTTTATATAATATTCGGTATATAAAAAGCGGTATTTCCAGCGTCAATACATATTTATTTTAACAACTTCATACCTGATAATCTTCTAGTTGTTGCTCGGTGAATGTGACAACTTTGTTACCCATTTTATGAAAAATTGCGGTAAAAAGGTAAATAATGTAACAAAAGATAGTAAAAGTAAAAAGCCTGTTGCCCGCACAGACACAAAACACAGTCTGCGGCCGCTCGCCGGGATTAGGGCGTGTGCAGCACAGAGTAATAAAGTTACAGACTTGTCACGGGGCCAAGGACAATTCTAATATATGAATATTGTGTTGAATAGCAAAAATTGTTGGAACAAAGGAACGGGAGATATAGAGGTCAATAAATATTAGGTATTGCCGTCGATAGATAATAGTATATAATTCTTATATGTATATACATGAAAATATAAATTAATAAATATATAGAAATGTATAATATATATATGTACAATAATATTAAAAAAAAAACTAAATTATATTTTTACACAATGATTTAATTCACTGATTATATTTTTACTAATCTGTTATTCTGTGATTCAACTGATTATTTTATAATAATAACAATTATTAGAGAGCATAGCATAATATAGAGTCAAAAACATATAGAATATATATATGGTAAAACATAAAACTTAAGGTAATAAGGCCTCCACTTAGCTGGTGTCGCAGTCACTGCAGGACCGATTTTCAGTGGAGCCACTACTCGAAATAAAGAAATTTTTACTTTATACATATATTTAAACATTTTCTTATATTAATTTAATTAATTTTATAATAATACTAGCTGTACCCGCGACATTGTCCGCGTGTAATTTAACTGTATTTTTCTAAAATAAAAGTAGCCTAAGTTACTCCTTATTACATCAGCTACCTGCCCAAAAAAGTCCCGTCAAAATCGGTCCAGTCATTTCAGAGATTAGCCGGAACAAACAGACAGACAGACAAAAATGATATTTTGGTGTGTGACCCGTATTTATATTCAAATGCATGTAGTAAAAACGGTTATTTCAATATTACAATCAGACACTCCAATTTTATTTATATGTATAGATGTATAGATATATAATTAATTAATATAATTTTATACGAGGAAAAATAAATAATATTTTTATATAGGCCTCTGTTTTTTTGTACTCTGCATCTGTTGCACGGCGTGTGCTATTAAGTGCCGCACCTCGTCAGTGAGTTTCATTCTAATAAACTTATATATCTACGTTGTATATTAGACTTAATTAAACGTTTATCAAACTAGTAATCACTGTTTTATAAGTCGGAATATAACGTAGAAATCAATAGTTTACTATCTGTGCTAATACTATTATTAAACTGAAACGTCTAACACGTTACGGGGCAGACAGAAAGAATGAATTTCTAAAGATGTCGATGTTGGATAATGAATTAAAGACAACTCAATTGTATTTAATAGAGATATTGTAAACCGTACCTGTTGTACCTGTAACGAAGTTACTGGTCGTTACTTCGTTTTTTTTTGTAGTTATTTAGGTACTTTAGTTACTGTTACTTTACATAGTTACTTAATCATGTAGGTATTATAATAATAAAATAAATAAACAACTCTGGACAATTAACACAGCGCCATCTAGTTCCAAACTAAGCAGAGCTTGTGTTATGGGTACTAGACAACTAATATAAACACATAGTTGCTTTTTTTGTAAATACATACATACTTAGAAAAAAACACCCAAACATCAACATTCATATTCATGAGTACAATTGTTTGTACAGTGCAAGGAATCAAACCCGCGACCATCGGATATAAAGCGTGCTAAACCGCTAGACCATCGAGGCCGAAATAAAGCCAATGTATTTGAGAATGATTAAACCTATAGGTATACATACCACTACTCGATTGAAACAAACATGAGCTATATGTAATTTTGCTGACTCCGCATTCATAAAACTAGTTTGTTTGATTTAATTTACGAAATACACATACGTGTAAATTGAAATGGGCTGAGTAAACGGTACGTATTCGTGAATCAACAGTTTGGAAGGGTGAATTTGTAAAGCTAGTGTAACTACACTGACGTTTTGATTTATAAAATCAACAACTGGATTGTCGATTTCAGTTGAACAACGCCGAGTGTGATGTAAACACTGGCTGTAGGGATGTATTGATATTGTTTTCATTTATACATAATGATACTTTACAACTTGACGGCCTCAGTTGTCTAGTGGTATCGTACACCGCTTTATTTCCAATGGTCGCAGGTTCAATTCCTCGCACGGTGCAAACATTTGTATTCATGATGATGAGATGAGTATGATTGCTTGTATCTTTTTGGGTGTTTTCTATGTATAATATAGTATTATTGAAAAATTATCTATGTATTTGTATCAGTGGTCTAGTACCCATAACAGAAGCTTTAGGTAGCCTAACTTGGGTGTAGATGACGCTGTGTATGGTCCTGAGATTATTATTGTTAAGATTTTAAAAAAAGCTGGTTGAAGTAAGTAAGATTGAGGTACCTACGCAGACGACATTTCAGTCTTTATAGTCTACCTCGATGAATACCAATTATTAGAAATTAACATCTATACTCATGTTACAGTTAAACAAATGAAAGTACCTTAGTTTATTTAATAAGAATTGTCCCTAAATAAATGTAAGAATAAAAAAAAAGAATGTGGCATTCTGAGACTAACTTGTTCTATATGCCAGTATACTATGAAGTTCTCTCGACAGTATAATATGAAGAAATCTCTTTGTGTAATAGTAGGGCTAGAGTACTGCGACCGACAGCTGCCTTATATAAGATTTCCCAGCTTCTTTCATCTTATACTTTTATATTACGTTTTGTTCCACCGTATAAGCTGCAGTAACAACATCCTGCAGATGACATTATTGGTGGATAACACATATAAAAATAAAAAGACAATACTTTTTATTTTGACATCAAATCTAATTCAGATTTAACATAATTTTAAATTTGGAACTGATTTTCACAAGTCCAGTCGTTATTTAATTTTTTTTAATTTATTGCATATTAAACAGGGTCAATAGGAATCATTGTGGCACTGCACTCACTGGGCCCAACTTTCTGCTGCGTGCTGCTACACCGACAACGACAATGTACCTGTCCCGTCTACATTACGCCACTAAGGAGCAGGACATTGTCGATTATATCCGTACCAAGAGTAACCTGACATTGAGGGTGACGCAGTTGAAGTCGAGTCACAACGCGAGTTTCAAAGCGTTTGTGGCCCTGGTCCCTACCGACTTGCTGCCCACCTTCATGAAAGAGGACTACTGGCCGAAAGGTGTGGTGTATCGGCGCTACCGTGGCAGATTGCCGTCTTCAGTGCCGTGATCACACAGACAATATAGTTGTATTGGTTTTTATTATATTATATGTATGTTAGTCTATAAGGTATTTATAATATGGGCCTAGTTGCCTGAAATAAATATAAATAAAAAAAAAAAAAAAAACATATATAGCATTTTACGATAGTCGGGTAAGCAACACTCATTAGAATTTTTATTAATTTTTCAATGCCAGAAGTGAGTATTTAAAGTTTTACGTGTCTGTTTAGGTTGTATATAATTATTCTGTTGCTATTTACTTATAAAAAGGAAAAATATGTTTTTTTATTCTTAAATCAAATATGGTGGAAAAAAGTTAAATGTATTTTTATTCCTATCAACCTCGGATTTATTCAGTGTACGTGTCTATCATAGCTCCTAAATGAATCTACATATTACGATGTGATTTTTTTTATTTCAAAGCTGACATGATTGAAATAGGTCTTAACTGTAATTTATTAGAGTTTTAGGTGGATTGGGCAGATACCCATATTATTAAAATTTTAGAGATTATTAAGTGTATATCTTATATATAAAATTCTCGTGTCGCAGTTTTCGTTCCCATACTCCTCCGAAACGGCTTGATTCTCATGAAATTTTGTGAGCGTATTGAGTAGGCCTGAGAATCGGCCAACATCTATTTTTCATCCCCCTAAATATTAGGGGTAGTCCACCGCAATTTTTTTTTTATTTTAAGGCAAAACAACGTTTGCCGGGACAGCTAGTGTGTACTCAGACTCTTATATACAAGTGTATATGATACTTAATCGCTTTCTACGGCTTAAAACAGTGCGTCGGGAGCTAGTCCATTGCTAGACGCCTCATGTTGCCAAACACACGCATAACTCTGTACGTGTCCGTATATAAAAAAATGAGTATTACAAAAATATAATATAATTCTGTTGTAATACAATTTAAATTTTAATGTCATTTAATTCCAGCCGGCGCATTCATTCATACATTCCTGATGACTTGGAAAATTGTTGGACACTGTCGGTGTTGCCACTTTGGGGCAGTGTTGCGACCATCTGATCTCGAAACAATTTCGTGTCACCCAGTCGTATACATATCTGAAATAACCATTAATACGATATTTTATAAATTTAATATATTCAACCGAAGTTTTAATAATTATAATAATAATAATCCTGAACAATTCACACACTGACATTCATCTAGTCCCAAGCTATGCAGAGCTTGTGTTATGGGACTAGACAACTGATACAAATACTTAGATACATGTTATTTATATATATAGGTATATAAATTGTCTTTATTTTAAAGGTAATCGAGTACTAAGTCAGAAAAAAATGGAGACATCAAATTTTAGTGGTAATATTATGCTATGCTTAACATTTTACTTCGCTACTTAAGTAAACATGAATTATTTTTATAAATTTAAAAATTACACTAAATTTCATAATATAAATTTAATTGTTTTTGTTCAAACGCCTAAACAGATCTTCATAAATTATAAGTATTTTCTTAATCACGTCAGTTTTCCAGCAAAAAACCGCATCATGTGCTAGTCTATTTAATTGAGAGCTAATTGTCATTACGACATACAAATGTTCAGGTTACGAACACTGATTAGACTTTTTGCTTTTGCAATAGCATATGCTGGTGGTCACTCTGTTCTGCCAAATATGAATTTAAAAATGAATCTGTATTATTGTAAACATGCATAACATTTATTTAAAAAGAGTACGCGCTGATTTCTTGTCAGTTCTTCTCATTTCGAATTCATTCCGCACTGATGTAGATTTGACATATCATAAGAGTATGTAATAGACCTACATGAATAAGATATTTTGAATTATGAAATTTTTCTACACGTTTTTCATTTATGACACTCCTTTTCTTCAAGTTTAAAAAAATAAATTTGAAAATTCAAATTAAGCCAAAAATAATTTATTCATGTAGGACACTTTCGCTGCTTCTGAACAATTTTTGTATTATTATTTTTCTCTACCGTCTATTTGAGAAACAGTGCTAGTGAAGTTATTTCTGCTAGACTTCCTGTAGTCTTAATCACAAGTTCGTCTCCTAAATCAACTTGACAGACAATTGAACTTGGAACCGCGAGCTCGTTTACGTAAAGCACTTTGGATTCAGCTAAAACGTAGTGGTTACTTGCTCAGTGGATTCAGCGGTACAGCTGTCGTACAGCACATTAAATTGTCTCTGGCAGATTCATGCATAACTTCGAACGTGTGTTGCCTGCTAAAAGTTTTACAGATAGCACCGTAAGCGTCTTCTTACATTAGGATACTCTATTATCTTTTTTTTCGGACTACTCTAATGCTGTTGGCCGCAGTTGGCTTTTACAGCTACACCGGACGATAGGAGGCGAGTGCAGATGGCACTCCAAACCCGCGGAAGGACTTATGGAGCAGCTGAAGCCCAACTCCTCCCTGACAGATACTCCCCTGTGACCTGTGTCACATTTAGTTTTAAAGTGTAATTGTATTTTCATATTTACATTACTGACTTCAAACTTCTGGGAAAATCAATGAGAGATCTTAATTGATTATTTTATATGGTGATTAGTATCTAAGGATGGAGTATCATGTAAACAGGCGTTAGGTTCTACTTTCCATAATGTGGACTGTCAGTTCATTTGCTAATTCCAAGTACATGAAAAAAAAGATACGCCTCAACTAGACAACTCAACCTTGAGACTCGTGTAGCTTGTAGAATAATGTAAGGCATGCCTTAATAGGAATAGAAGCAAAGTTTACGTGAGTACTACTGTAGTTTACCTTATTGTATGCGGCCAGCGATCCCGAGCCATCCATTCAATGAGACAGTGCTTCTCCTGCGGCTTTGCTTGACATATTTCTGGGTTTACTAAGGAAGAAATACAATAATAAATAATAATTAGAAAATTATAAAGCAATTATATTCCTGATTAATGTAAATAAGACAATTCACACAGCGCCATCTAGTTTCAATTTAAACAGAGCTTGTGTTATGGTTATGCATCAGTTGTTTACTAACACAACTAATCTACACATAGAAATAAAATTGGAGTGTCTGTTTGTAATATTGAAATAACCGTTTTTTACTACATGCATATGAATATGCGAATGCAAAAATACGCTATATACACCAAAATAACATTTTTTACAATTTTTGTCTGTCTGTCTGTCTGTTTATTCCGGTTAATCTCTGAAATGGCTGGACCGATTTTGACGGGACTTATGTTGGCAGATAACTGATATAATAAGGAGTAACTTAAGCTACTTTTATTATAGAAAAATAAAGTTACATTCCACGCGGACAGGAATAGTTAGTACTTAAATATTTTTTTGTAAATACATAGAAAACACCCAGACCGATACAAACAATCGTAGTCATGAATACAAATGTTTGCATCGTGCGAAGACCTACCAAGCAAGTAATAAGAGTGGTCCACCCCAATTTTTATTTATGTTTTGACATAATTGTTAACTATTTTTTTTTATATAATTCGGCATTAAAAATACATACAACATTAATTTTTCATTCTTCTACCACCAACGCCTATTTTTAATAACGATATTAATTTACACGGTAGTAAAAGTCTTTATACAAATTTTCATTCGAAACCATTTAGTACTTTTTACTTGAAAGCATTTTTACAATTATCTTGTTAGTAATATTAGTGGTCGCCCTGTGGTCAAAATTCGACCATAATTTAAATTAATTATATTAAATAATATGCATTGTTGCAGGATATAAGTTTATACATTATTAAGTCCCTACAACTGTCTTGTTAGTAATATTAGTGGTCGCCCTGTGGTCGAAAATCGACCATAATTAATTTAATGTATTATTGTAGTACATAAGTTTAAAAATTATTAAGGTTCTATTGTCAAAGATGCTATGCTTGTGTGCATGAAATACAGTGTGTCTAATGTTTTTTTTATTGATTTAATATATTATTTTTATCCGATATATCTTTTCGTCCAAATTTCCGCTGAAATGATGCCTCAAGACGATGATGCGTAATAAGTGCGAAATTTCATACTCTTAGATTTTCAGGTACAAAGTTTTTGCTTCACGTTTTAATATAACAATAAGTACATCAGCTGTCGATGTATACAAATAAACAAATTTATTACTTTGACAAGTAAACGAGGAATGTTTTAGAAAAGTGCTTACGTCAAGCAGTTTTCCATGAGATCATTTTAAAGACTGTACAATAACAAATTTCATATTCTATAAAATGCTGAATAAACAGAATTCAATGCGCTATCTTCTCGTTTGATTGCTTTGTTATTTTAGTTTTAAAAATATGTAACCCAAATATAAAACGTATGTTAATAATAGGGGTTAAAGTATGAAATTGTGCTTCTATAGTAATAGACACTTTGAATTGACATAAAACCTTCATGAGTGATTTTTTCGAGTGAAACTTTTTTCACAGGATACAACATGAGATTCATCTTTTAAAAAGCAACATTCAATCAGTTGTTTTTCAGCCTTGTCGTGAAACATGGATACTTGAAAATCCGAGTGATTTTTAATACAAATTCCGACGCGGAACTAACGCGGCAGAAACGGCTCGCAAGGGAGGAAATAGTGATGTGGACTAATGATCCGATTCTAGCAATGAATCATGTCAGTTTGACCTCCACGCGCTTCCCCCTGGAAACCATCGTGATAAATTCTCTGTCAATTTGTCGCAATGGTCTAACTGACCTGACTTCATGTTCATCCTATCATCCTCCACTTGTGCCAGCGTAAACCATTAGCGCAGGCGGGTGCACCATTCCATTATTATCCACTAAAAAAGAAACGACTTGCAATCAACGTTGCATTTGGAGAGGAGACTGCCAATGAACACACCGCGCGTTTTTGGTTCAAACGCTTTCGCAATAGAAACTTCGATTTGAAGAACGTGGTCGTGACGTGAGAAGAAGAAGAACCACGTGGTCGCCCTCGAATATGAACAGCGCTGTATTGATGATGATAGTGGAAACCAATTCGAGTGAAAACTACCCAGGAATTAGCAGAATGGTTTAACGATACCTTACTTACAATATTGCCTCATTCACACAAATCAATAAGATAAAAAAAATTGAAAAATGAATGCCTCATGATTTGACTGTTATACAGAAAGAAATGCGCGTCGAAACTTGTGTTGCTTTGTTGAAGCGGTACATAAATAAAGGAATATTAGATCGAATTGCGACATGTGACAAAAATTGGAATTTTTACGATAAAGATAAGCGAAAAATTTAAATACAGTTATTACTAAAACTCGAGAACTATCGTTACTCGCTAAGTACCACCTCTATCACAGCGTTAGGTTGATTGGAAGATCCCTTGCAGAGATACACCAACCCTTGCTCACATCTTTATTTATTAATGTAACAAGTGCAATAAAGTATATTGAAAATGGAATAGCTGACCCCTAAATTTTTATTATATAATTACTCACTAAATGATTACTTGAATGACGAGCGTGCATGGCAATAGTTGTTCGTGTACGGAATTTTCATTTAATGTTATACATAGACACCTATATACATATATATTATGTTATCTGTGACAAATATACATTGTAAATGAACTGGTATTTAAAAAGAAATAAAAAGTACTTCAATTGAGTTTCTTGCCAGTTCTTCTCAATTGATAGATCCAATTGAGAAGAACTAAATACTGAACTGGACGGTAGGGAAAAAATTATAATAAAAATTTCTTGGCGTTCATAAGCGGTAAAAATGTCCTGCATGAATAAATGATTTTTGAATTTAAAACTGACAGTGAAATAGTCCCGACTCGTCAATCGATCTTCATTTTTGCTCCACGATAACGCAAGACCTCATACTGCACGTGAAACCTAATTAACTTTAGGCTAATTAACTTCAGCTGCAGTTGAAGCTTAAGAGTTGAAGTTAATTAGCCTATGATACATCTTTTAACATTAGCTACCTGCGCATTGAAGTATCGTCAAAAGCGGTCCAGTCGTTCGAAGAAATAGAAAGACAGACAATTTTTTTTAAATATATACCGTATATAACTTCGTATGCATTTAGTGAAAAGCTGGTACTTTATAGTTACAAGAAATAAGCATTTTAACTTTATTTATTTATACAGATAAAAAAATAATCACATTTTTAATCAATATGAAATAAAAAAAATACTCACGTGAATCAGTGTAACACAATATTATTAAGATAAAATAAGCAACCTTGTACATAACGATAAGAGGTTATCAATAAGTATTTATTTACTGAAATGTACCACACAAGCGTGTTTTACACAGACGGACGCAATTAACAATAACATATATATATACATACATGTTTCTGTACCATGAAATTGTGGGGTCATTGTATTATGTACAGTATGATTGTTAGATCTTATTAATATTATAAACGCGTAAGTTTGTGTGTATGGATGGATGTTTGTTACTCTCTCACGGAAAAACTGCTAAACGGATTTTGATGAAACTTTACAGTAATATAGGCATGCCGCTTGTACATCAGATTAACATGTAGGCTATAATTTAAAAAGTTATTATTTCAAATTGGACGAAATATAATATAATAATAAATATCAAGTAAGTGTGGTGCTGACGTTAGGTGGATCAGCTAGTAATAAATAAATATATAACTCTGGACAATTAACACAGCGCCATCTAGTCCCACGGTAAGCAGAGCTTGTGTTATGGGTACTAGACAACTGATATAAATACATACATATTTTTTGTTTGTAAATACATACACAATACACATAGGTAATGCCCAGACCGATACAAACAATCATACTCATGAATACAAATGTTTGCATCGTACGAGGAATCGAATCCGCGGCCATCGGAAGTACAGTGGTGTACCAAACCGCTAGAGCATCGAGGTCTTTTATGTAGTAGGACCGATAAAATTATATATATATACATTTTAATAAACAGTAATATTTATAAAATTGGTTATACTAGTGACCATCGGAAAGTGAGACAGTATTTAACGGCGAGACCACTAAAGTCGTATATTCTAATGTACACATATGACCTATATTCTTGTTGAAGACAAGAGCTTTGTTTGTACGCTAACTTTTAATGAGGAATTTAAACTTGTTACGTCTCAACTTATTGCTAACACACACGTAAGTAAATGGGACTGTCAACCACAAAGAGGTACCAACATACAGAAAATATTGTATTTTTATTTTTGGTTTGGCAACGGTATAGAGAAAATAAATAATGTTTTAAGATTAATTTATAGAAGAAGCAATACTGCCCTTATGAAAATTAATATCTACGTACCTACAGGTATAAATGGCATATACAGGCGTTGAAAAATTATTCTACACAAGATGATTGCAGTTTCATACAAAAAATGTTTTTTTGAAATTAATTTTAAAATTACCAAAGTCAAATTGGGACGATATTTAAAATACAACAATTATGCATATCACAAAAAGTGTAGATTTTTATTATCTTTCACTTGTTTTATTTTTAATACATTCAAATTTCGAATTAATGTGACCAGCCATGTACATCAATTAAGTTTCAGTATAAAACATAGTGATTATTTTCTCAGGGGCCAGTATTTCTCGAATGAAACTGCCTGTACTACAGTAAAAATAGTAGAAATAAAAACTGAAAATGGAATATAAATGGATAATTTTTATTGCATTGCATTTTATTGCATTGCTGACAAATTAAATTAAGTTTGACTTTGACGGCATGAAACTGCGAGTGCTCTTGGACTTGTCCGATGATTTAATATAAGTATTCTTAAATGGAGGTAGTACCTACTATGATGGAATATTGATTTATATCAAATGTCGTAAATTTTGTACGTTGTATTTTATTAAGTATGAAATAGTCGTCATCAGTAACCCCTTCACGACCACAGGAACATAATTATATATCAGTTTGAAGGTTCACAATCTGGTGGGGTTTTAAAGTTACTGTGATCATGAAGGACGTTTCAAAGTCCATATTAACCCTCATCCCAGAAAATTTTTCCTCCATACCCGGGAATTCTATTGGTTGATTCGGTACTACTGATTAATTCGACACACACACAGCTCAGAGTGCTCAGCTGCTTGGTGGTAATATTTTTCTAACGAATTTGCTATTGTGACATCTGGCCTTTACAGCTTCACCGGACAATAGAAGACGAGTGCAGATAGCACTCCAAATGCGTATAAAGACTTATTATGGCTTACGGCCAACTTTTGCCTAACGGATGCGACTTTATTACGAAGCATCGCTAGGTTTTCGAATTTAATTTCATGCTCTCATAATTTTTATCTTCGTTTGAATTGGATAGAGGATCGATTGAAGTGGTACTTGATGGTGGAAATAGTGACTTAGTACTAAATCGATTAGTATTAGTCAACGTTGAGCTGAAATTCCCAAAATTTCTCGCGAATTGTTCGCAGGATCTTAAAGCAAAATGATAACTCCGCCGCGACAGTTTGCACTGCCGTGACCAGGATTCGAACCTGGGTTACTACGGCCACAACGTAGGGTCCTAACCACTAGACGATCACGGCTGTCGGAGCTTACACCGTAATCTTGTAAAAATGCAACCGCTTTCTTATTTTGTTATTACACGTTTAAATTGAAAATTGGCAGAGCGTAAGACTTTACAAACAAGCAAAGCGCATTTGCTTTTGGTAGCGTTACCTACAATATAATCTGGAACACTTTTTTTTTGCTTGCGGCAACCGTGTCGTAGCGTGAAATCGAATTTATAATTGCTCTTTCGGAAGTAATACAAAATGCTCTTATCCGAAGCGATTTGATATCTTTGTTATCTTATTGTTTTTTTAATGGATAAATGTGAAATCTTGTATCTGCCTTCATATAGTTTTTTTAATGTATGATATAGTTTTTTTTAATGGAATGGAGCATCCGCCTGCACTAACAGTATGCGTTGGTCACCAGTGTATGATGATAAGATGAATATGACATCAGGTCAGTTCGCCCATCGTGACAAATTCACCAGCAATTTATCACGTTGATTTCCAGTGGGAATCGCGTGGAGATCAACTTGAGATAGTACATTGTTAGCTATGGAGTCATCAGTCCACATTTCTAATTCTTACCTATCTTTGTTAGTGGTATACGCTAGCACTAGTGCAGGATGGTAAAATGGGAAATTAGCCAGGTCATCTAGCTCATCGTAGCGATTCACCAGGGATTAACCACGAGATGAGCGCGTGGAAGTCCATGACAAACTATCGCATAGTTCCCATTATTAATAATCCTCCTTTTATTGAAAAAATGTATGAAAGTACTGTAATATGTTACATATTATGTAACATATTACATATCTTTAATAAACGAAATAATGTTCTTTATTTAAATATCTTAAAATTAAATCTACAAGGAAAAGTCAGTATTAACTTTCATTCAGAGACAATTTTGTTGTGTATTTTATTAATCTATGTTCTTGATATTGGTCTAATGATAACATCTTCGCGACTGTTGCTACAGATGAGGTAGGCAGTGACACTGTACACTGTCAACATTCGGTAAACACAGCGCTTGTATTGTCCCATCCGATTGATCCCCCGTTCAATTCAAACGAGGATCGAAATTAAGACGGCATGAGCCAATGTTTGAAACCCTAGCGGTGTCCTCAAACTAAAGTCGTATCCGTCAGGTAAGAGTTGGTCTAGAGGCGCTCCATAAGTCCTTCCGCGGGTTTGGAGGGTCATCAACACTCGCCCTTTATCGTTCGATGAAGCTGGTGGTGAATAACTTTAGAACAGTTCGAAACAAAGCTTTTTCTTAATTATTCTAAAGCTCTCAGCTTTTTGTGTTGTTTCTAAAAAATCTTGAAAAATATATTTCTAGCGATTTAGTAATGTCACACAGTTTACACTGTAGGTGCATATTTCATTTCGGCAGTAATAAAATCATTGTAAATATATAATTTGCTCCGGCTATAATTTTTTATTAGACGTTAATTTCATTTCAAGCACATGAAAGTGTCCAATTTGGAAGCTTTCAGTGAAAAATTATACGAAATCTCTTCCAGTTACGTCTATTAAGGACAATAATTTACAACCAACTTCAAATAAAGAGGAGAATCTCAATACAACTGTACTTTTTATGTATATACTTGTTACCTGAGATATTTAATTTCATGGAATCGATTTTTTTTTATTTCATAGTTGGCGATTCTCGTGAGATATACAATAATATATGTGATCAATAGTTAGAATCGTGGCTTGAACATCCTTGTACCTACATTCTGGTTTCCGTATCTTCCTATAAACTCTATTGTGCTGAACTTCTTCTTATAACAACTTCCTATAATAACTTCTTTCAATATATGCCAAAAATATTGAGTATCTTTTATTTAAATAGTTTAACATAGAACAGTATTTTATCTGATATGTAATTATAATGTAAGATGAGAATTGTAATTGTGCTATAGTTTAGAAAAGGGTCCGGTTAAAACCTGTCCCGCACATGTGCATCCTGTCGACATACGCTGAACCGGGTTGTCTGTCGGCACTAAGAAGTTACACCCATCATCATAACTAGTGTATATTTGTAAGTAAAGTCGTGTATTTTTTAATTAATAATTCATATTTTATTTCACAGTTGATTCCTTAAAAATTTGTAATATAAAAAAAAATTATGTAATTTGAAAGGCAAACAAACGGCTGCTCTGATGACTAGATGTAACCATCGTCTATAAATATGAACAGCTCTTCGGACATCATGTTATTATATCAGATCTGTGATATTAAGCCATTCCAGGGGACGTAGATGGCACGCCTCTTGTCCTGTAATTTTACTGCCTAATCCCTACAAATGAGATATATCTTACAAAGTAAGCTGCTTGGGGGCTGAAATAGGTGAGACTGAGGTGAAATAGGTGACAACAACCTTTTACAGTTCACCTATGATTAACCTATGGTATGGTATTATAAGATAATACAACGTCTGAACAAATGGAAAAGAAGTCACATAAAAATATAACTCCGCCGTGACAGTTTGCACTGCCGTGACCAGGATTCGAACCTGGGTTACTACGGCCACAACGTAGGGTCCTAACCACTAGACGATCACGGCTGTCGGAGCTGGTGACAGTGGTATTTAAAATATCAAACACTTTGGACAAAATAAAAGCACATTCTTTGTTGCGTTGCAAAATCAATTTCACGGTCCAGTGAGAAATGATTGCAGTACACATTTATTTATGTATTGCGATCAAATAACTTATTATAATTATTATTACTATTATATATTGGTCATAGACAAGTAGTTACTGCCCTGATTGCCGCTAGAAAGGTCGTCAGTTCGATTCCGAG